AAAAAAAAAATGTGCAAAATGATGTAAAAATAGACTTTGTAATAAATAAAATAAAAAAAACAATTAGCAACAACAAATGTTGGTGAGTATGTGGAGAAAAAGGAACTCTCCAACACTGCTGGTGGGAATGCAAGCTGATACAACCACTATGGAAAGCTCTTTGAAGGTCTATCACACTGCTAAAAATGGAGCTTCCATATGAACCAGAAATCCCACTCCCACATACCTACCCAAAGTATACATAAACATCTATCCAAAAAGACATCTGTACCCCTACGTTTATTGCTGCTCTATTTACAATAGTGAAGACATGGAATCAACCCAAAAAAAAAAAAACATAACCACAAGGAGACACTAGGTCATGGGTGTTTCCTATCAGCACCCAAGATAGTACCTGACAATCCTGGGCCCTGAATGCCAAGGAGTGACTAAACCCAGTGATAACAAGATGCCTTTTCTAACTCATTCTGTGACCTGTGGTGCTGGGATATAATAAATGCCAGGAAGCCCTAGTTCCTGGCAGAGCTTCTAGAACCCTAGTTTTGAGTAGTGGGTGCACGGCACATCTGTTGGTCAGAAGTCCCTTCCCACTGCTCCTGACTGCCAGGAGTGACTTGGGGCATGGGGGAGGGGAGCAGGACAGGGGACAAGATCACCTATGGCAGGTGGCTTAATCCATCACGCCCACACGAGGGCCCCTCCATAAAACCCTGGACAGCAGGCTCAGAACACATGGAAATGCTGAATGGAGGTGCCCCGAGGGCACAAAAGCACCTCACCCTGACCCACCCAGCTCTTACCCTGCACCTCGTCCGTCTGTTCCTGACTGGCTTCCTAACCTTCCAGAGTTCTGTGAGTTGCACTAACAAATTATCAAGCCCAAGGAAGGGGTCATGGGAACCCCAATTTATAGCCAATTGGTCAGAAGAAGGGATCTGCAACCAGTATCTAAAGTGGGGGCAATCCTATGGGGTCGATCGCTGCACCTACTTCCACGCAGCACCAAACCTAGCTGAGCTGTAGGGCACACCTGGAGAACGGGTTGGTGGGGACAAAACCCCACTAGGTGGCACTGGGAGCAGGATGCTCCGTGAACGGTGAGCCGGAGCCTAACACCCCTGCACAGGCTGACACGGACAGTCTGTCTCTACCTTGCCTGGCTCCCCTTCTGGAATGGGAGTTCTGAATGCAGGGTCACAGTGGACTGTACCCCCAGCTCTTGTTAAGTGCCCAACACTCAGCATGAGGAGTGCCCCCTACTCCCCAGGCCTGGGCTAGCCGGGACGGTGGGGGGCCTAACCTCACCTCTGCAATGGCAAGCTTCTCCTGAGCCACGTAGCCCGACACGTTAATCATCTCCATCCGGTCCCTCAGTGGCTCTGGGATGGTCTCGGTGACGTTGGCTGTGCAAATGAACAGCACCTGCAGGAGGCAGTGGTGAGATGCTGGAGGACAAGCCATCCTGCCCGCTCACTGCTGGGGACGGTAGGGCAAGGACCTTGGACAAGTCCACAGGCACATCCAGATAGTGGTCCAGGAAGTTGGCATTCTGCTCAGGGTCCAGCAGCTCAAGCAATGCAGACGAGGGGTCTCCCTGGTAGCCCCGGCCGATCTTGTCGACCTGAAGGGGTCGACAGATGTCAGTGTTAATCTCATCCTGTTGCCTGTGCCACCCCAGCCCCCACCAGCCCCCCAACTCAGCAAGGGGACCCAGCAGCCAAGACCCTGCAGGAGTCAGGTATGGGTCCTCTGGGGAAGGAGGGGGTCAGCAAATGACTGAGGACCACCTCAAGACAGCCTGGTCAGGGCTGCCAGGAGTTCTGGAATGGGAAGGCTCGAAGGACCAGGTCTGACTTGGGGAAGTGGGTCACACTGCTGCTCCAACTGACCCCAGCCCTGGCCCAAACCCCCAGCCTGGCACACACCTCATCTATCAGGATCAGAGGGTTTTCCGTCTTGGTCTTCTTCAGGCACTGGATGATCTTTCCTGGCATAGCACCCACGTACGTCCGCCTGTGGGAAAGGGCACAGTGGGCCTTGTTGCCAGGGTCTGGCCTTGCCCTCACCCACAGGCTGAGCCTGCCCAGAGCTCCAGGAACTTGGTGCACAGGTGCTCTCCGGGATGCTCAGAAGAGGCAACAGAAATGCACACAAGGCCACAGTGGAGGCCAAACCCAGCCTGCAGAGCCATCAGTCACTCCAACTGCTGTGCCTGAGTGCTGAGGGGACAGACTCCCTGCCAGGTCTCTCTCAGACCTGGCCATCCCCTGCTCCCACTGGCAGCTGCTCCCCAGATGCTGAAACCCAGCCTTCATCACCTGGCCCACAGAACGGGAGGGGCTCGGGTAGCCAGGCAGCAGAGATGCCCCTGCCTCGGGGTCCTCATTAAGGGACAGCAAGCACAGTCGTCATGGTCACTGAGCGTAGGCTACCAAATTCTTTCTGGAATGTTCCCCAAGAACCTTGCTCTGCACTGGTTGGGCTATGGGAATTCGCAAAGAACAAAGGAGATACAAATCTGTGTACTTGTAACTAAGTATCCAGCAAGACCATAAACCAGGCCAGGGAGACAATTATTTATGCTAAAAAGAAAAGCAGGACGGGAGGTCCAAAATGCCAAGGGGGTGGACAGAAGCTTAAGGGGTTGTTTTAGAGGTCCTGAGCAAAACAGTCGAAGGGGTGGCAGTGGGTATGTAGGGGGAGATCATTTCGGACAGAACAGTCTGTGCAAAGGTGCTGGGGCGGGACCACGTCTGGTGAGCTGAAAGAATAGCAAGGAAGACTTGTGGCTGGGCTGGGCAAGGAGGGTCCCTGGAGGGGTGTGGGCAAAAGAGAACTGGCTGGTGTCAATACCACAGAGTCAGCTCCCTATCGTCCATGTTTTGGGATCTGGGACCAGTATCTGGGGCCTGCCTTATTTGTCCCATCTCCTGGATTTTCACTCCCAACATCAGGCTGCCTGCGCTTATGTACCCCTGGGAATAGTCCTTGCCCACAGTTCCTAGGCGTCCTGAAACCAGAGGTATAGGGGTCTTTGCCTCCCTTCATCCGCCCCTGAACCTTCATCCTGCTACTCTTCCAGCTCAAACCTCAGCCCTGAGTTAAAACCGGCAAGAACGCCCTCTGCCCTCCTGGTAGACAGCCCCTCTCGTCACCCTCAGAGCTTGACCCTCCAGTCTGGGGGCCGCCCAACAAACCCACATTCAACACCAGCCTCAGCCCCGGCGGGGCTCACTGCCTGCTCCCCCTTCCCCCCACTTCAGGTCCCTACTCCTAACTCCCGGAGTTCACGCCAGCACAGTGGTGGGGAGGCCACACCACCCCAGGTGTAGTCACACTGCCAACTAGGCACCCTCTGCAGGGGTCCCCACCAGGAAGGCCCAAGAGCCCGAGGTGGCCAGCACTGTCCCTGCTTTTGGGAAAGTGAGAAATATAAACTAAAGAGCGACTTGATGCTTCCCACTACAGGATGGAAGTTAAGTGGCAAAGAGAGAAGAGATGTGCTGTCTGCTACACGGTATCCCTGGGCTGTTTTTCAAAGAACCACCCCTGAAAGGCAAGCATCATGAACCCCAAAGCAAGGCCCTGCAGAAGGTGCCATGCACAGGCCAGGGGCCTTTCAGAGGATTTCGCCAGTGCACAGGTCTGATGATGGAGGAAGGGCCCAGCCCAGTGCTAGGACCTCACTGTGTGGTACCTGTTCTCCCTGGGGAAACCATCTGGTCCCCAACTCTACACCCCAGTCTCAGAACTCTGGCTGGAGAAATGTGGGAGCTGAGTGAGGGTGCGGCAGGGGTGGCACACAAAAGTAGAGCCACTTAGGGGCCTCCAGCAACCTGGCTAAGAGGCCAAGATTTCAAATCTGCACCGAGTGCCTGGACTGAGCCAGGCCTGAAGTTCATGCAACGCTTGGACTTTCTGGCAACTTTACTCAAGTCAGAGCATGCCAAGAAGGCACTGCAATCAGTCTGACAAGCATAAGACGGGCAGTGCCACAGAAGGAAGCCCAAGGGAAGGGCAGGAGCCAGGAGAGGAGGTTGGCCTACCTATGCCCCTTGATCTCCGCCACGTCAGTCATGCCCCCTACGCTGAAGCGGAAGTACTCGCGGTTCAGGGCGCGGGCAATGGAGCGGGCGATGCTGGTCTTGCCCACACCAGGGGGGCCGTAGAAGCAGAGGATCTTGCCCTGGGTGGAGCCTCGGAGCTGGCTGACAGCAATGAACTCCTGCAAGCAGAGGTCACTGCCATGAGCGCTCGTACCCCCTCTGCAGCGCACGAGGCTCTGCCTGAAGGCGCTGGTGTGGCCTGCTTGCCTTCACACTGCGAGAAGGGTCAGGGCCCATTCCAGAAGGGCTGAGCTGACTGAACCCGGCACCGGTCACCAGGAGGCCAGCCTGTGACTCCAAGAGGACAAGTAGGAGCGGAGACCATGGTGACTGGGTGACCAGGGTCAGGCCCATCAACAACTTCCCTGTCCTCCTACATCCTGGGCGTCACGACAAGTCCTCTCCCGGGTCCAGCCGTAGCTTACCCACCCTCAGTCACACACGCCTGGGTCCCTGTCTTACCCGTCTCAAGGATGACTTGATTCACCCGGATTCTGCACGCCAAGGAGCAGGCATCTGGCCCAGGTGCATGGGCTACCTATGGCGCCTCAGAGCCACAGCTATGCCGCACCCTCCACTGGGGCCTCCACCCCTGACCCCAGGCCCTGCTCACCCCACCAGTCTTTCCTCACCTGAGCCCCTCCCACACTGTGAGATCTGCAAGTTGACCAGGAGTCGCTCTGGGTGTTTTCTACGACGCAGGGAAGAGGAGTTCTGGGCCAACAGTCTGCAGTGTCAGCCCGGAGGCAGCAACCACTCAGAAATCGAGACCGCAGCAAACCCTGCTTCTCAGTGCCCACCTGGGTGCACTGACATGCACCAGTGATAAGGGACTGCGGTGCCTAGGAGGACCTGGATGGCTTGAACCTCATGGTCCACATATGCCGGCAGGGGGCCTCACCAGCGCAGGGACGCCCCTGGTCTGTTGGGGAGAGCGCCGGGGGCTCACCAGGATGCGCTTCTTGACGTCCTCCATGCCATAGTGGTCCTCCTCCAGGACCGCCTGGGCGCGCGTCAGGTCCAGGTTCTCATCGCTGTACTTGCCCCACGGGATGGACGTCAGCCAGTCCAGGTAGTTGCGGGTGACACTGCCACAGGACAGAGGAAGCAGTAAGGGGTCCTGAAGTGCTGCCCACTGCTGGGAAGGGACATCCACATCCGCGCTGCCCGCCCACTGCACCCACCCATCCCCTAAACTCTGCCTGGTGCCCCTGGGCTGCCAGCAGGGCTAGCAAAGCCCCAGATCAGGGCCAGTGACCCACCCCACCCCACCCCACCATGGGTGCTCACTTGAACTCTGACGAGTGGTTGTCCAGCAGGCCCAGCTTGCTCAGCTCTTCATCCACCACGTCCATGACGTGCTTGGGGACCACCAGCTCCTTCAGCCGCTCTCGGAACTTCTCCTCAATGGCGTCCTTGTCCTCCTTCTCCAGGCCCAGTTCCTTCTTGATGATCTTCAGCTGCTCTTGCAGCAGGTACTTGCGGTGAGTCTGCTTGATCTTCTCTTCCACCTACAGTCCAAGCAGCTGTGATGAAAGTGTCCCGCCAAGTGTCCCAGAAGGTGAACCAGAGCCACAGACTCACGTGGGCGCCTGCTCCGACAGGACCCAGGAGAGTGCCCCAGCACCACCTTCCACCTCTACCCCAAAGTCTCCCCAGCCCGGGCTCTCTGGGGCCTGCAAAAGAAATTACACCAACGCTGAATTCCAGGGAAGGAAGCTTGTGCTGCAAGCTGCCAGGAGGCAGGAGCTGCTGTACTGGTGCCCAGTCCTGTAGGCTGCCCTCTGGCCTAAGCAGCAACCACAGGCTTTGTGGACCACAGCTCAGAGTCCTCAAACACATACAGCTCAGACCGAACCCCAGTCAGTGCGCGACGTGACTGTACAAGGAGGGGAGCCGGGCCGGGCCAGCCTGTCCCCACGCTTCTCTGTTACGGGCCAGGCTCCCTGTGAGCGGACAGAGAGCAGGTGTGGGCCGTGGCCAGGGAGAACGGTGGGAGCCCAGGCACCTGCCTGCAGAGGCCACTGCTGTGCTTGCTGACCACGCGTTGTAGTTTTTCAATTAGCAACATGATGTAAAATTTCTCTAAGTGAAAAAAACCGTGTCACATCTGGCCAGCTAAGCAACTGACAGTGCGGTTCTTCCATGGATTTGCCAACTGTGGGCAGGTGGTGCTCACCTGGCTGAATGTGAGGGTAGAGCTTTAACCCGCCCCAGGCTGGTTCCCAATTTGTTCCATTTTCCACAGGCTCCACAGGCAGAGCAATTCTCCATGCCCAGGGTGAGGTCCCAGGCTTCACGCTGGCTCAGCCACTGGGACACCAGTGCAGCGCGCCTCCCCCACCACTCACCTGTGCACCCCTCTCCTGACGGGCACCCCACTCACCTCCCGCCCCAGGCGCTGCTGCAGCTTGCTCAGCTCAAACTCCTTCTTGAGGAGGGACAGGGCCTTATACAGACGCTTGGGAATCTGCCAAGGAAGGGAAGACGTGAGAGGACTGCGAAGTGGTGGGGGGATGGGGCACAGCACCCAGAGCGCTGCTGCGGGAAAGAGCGCGAGCTCGGGCTGGTGACCAGGCCATGCCTCGCCAACAGCCGCCCTGGGAACCTCCCACAGACACTGCAAGTGCATGAGCCAAGTGGACAGGAAAACCTCACTGAGGTCTTGTTTGAAATGACAAGACTAGCAGCAACCCAAACCTGCTCCCCAATAAATGAGGGGCATGGCCTGGGGGAATCCCAGACAGCTGCCAAGAAGAACAAGCGAGATCATCGCAAAGCAGAGCCGAGCACAAGCAGCTGGGCCCGAGGCGCCCAGCATGCAGCACAGGACCCACGGTCGATGGCTGGCTGGCGGGGCGCGGGCACTGACTCACGTTGGTCTCTTCAAGCACGTCCTGCAGCTCGTGGGACTCGGCGCCAGTGAGCGCAGCACCCATGTCACTCAGGTAGATGGGGTTGTCCACCACCCTCTGGCCGGCCTGCATCATCTGCAGCACAGACTCCCTGAGAGGGTCAAAGGGACACTGCTGGGTGCAGGAGCCATCACAGCAGCCAGGGAGTCACTCCTGTCTGGACAGCAGCCCAGGGGGTGGGGTTGGGGGGGCAGCTTTAGTCTCCCTTCCTCTGCAGCACTGGGCCTCTCTGGAGCTGCCCAAGGCAGAATCAAGAGGCTAACGGCCGGCACCCTCCAGCAGATGCTCGGTGTTTCCTGGCGCGCATCCCTTCCTCTGCCAGAGCTAAGGACAAAAAGGCTTCCGGCCCAAACTACGCTCTGTCAGCAGGAGGGAGGCAAGTAAGAACCTGCACTCTCCGCCACGCGGCCACCCTGCTACAAGGCAAGCAGGTTCCACCCAGACAGCACACCAACCTCTGGCCCCAGCCTCCACAAGGCTGTCTCTCAGGACACGCGGAGAAAGCCGCCCCAACGCGGCTGTGGAGCCAGGGAGACCACAGCCCGGTCTGGGGCCAGGCAGCCATCCAGTGCAGGCGGGAGGCCTACCTGTAGAGCGGGTTCAAGGCAATGATGTCCCGTATGGTCTTCACAATCTCCGCAGTCAGGGCCTAGCAGGGAGTCAGGGTCGCAGGGCTCAGTAGGGGCTGGGCCGGGGCGCCCCTCCCACCGGGACCTGGCCAAGGGCGAGCTCAGAGGCCCAGAGCCTGCACTACCAGCCACCGGGAGCGAGGGCCAAGTGTGACACCTACAGCCCACCCTCTCCTCGGGTGCTTCTGAACCTGAGTCCGGACCAAGTGGTCTCGGGGAAGTTAAGTGGGGGTACACTTCATTCCTTCACTTTGAGCCCTAGCCTTACAACTGCCGCTCCCCCTCTCTAGCTCGGTGGGTGTTTCCCACTTGACTCTCCTCCCTGCCACAGTGGAGTCAGCCATCTCACTGGTTCCAGAGGGCAGCAGCTCCTGGTGCAGCGCCCTAATGAGGCACAGCCAAGCTCAGGTTTTCCAACGTAATCACCTGATCTCCAGTGGCCGAGTTTGTCTTGAATTGCTTAAGTTGACCTTTGTGGATGGAACAAGAACAGGCAATAGGGGTGCATGCACCACCCACACGCATGAGGAACAGCATGTGGTCTCCCCCAGGGCATACAGAACCGGGGTACAGGCCAGAGGTGCAGGGGGAGGGGGAGTCAGAGGATTCACCAGACAGAGTGGGGAGCAGAAAAGGCAGAAAACTGAAACCCACTGCTGAGGGGAGCAGGAGGTGGGCCAGAAGAGGTGTGCTGCACCCTGTGGGTCACTCCCTGGCCGGGGACTGAACTCATCCTGCAGTGGCTGACGATAGCTTCAAAGTGCTACATTTTAACCCACTGCGCCACCAGGAAGCGCCCCCAGTTTGGTTTTTAAAAATTTTATTTTTTGTGGCCCTCCCTGGTGGCGCAGTGGGTAAAGCACAGCACTGAGAATCTAAAGCCACTTCCACATGAGTTCGATTCCCACCAGTCCCGGAGGTGACCACATGGCGCGGCAGGCCTCTCCTGGCCCGCCCGCTGCTCCCCTCAGCAGTGTACTTCGTCGATCTGCCTGTTCTGTTCCCCGCTCTGTCTCTGGTGAAGCCTCTCCCCATTCCTGCACTTCTGGCCTGTACCCCAGTTGTGTATGCACAAATAAATAAATCTTTAAAAAAAAAAAAATTTTATTTTTTGCATAGAAGAACTGGGGAACGGGCCAGAGATGCATGGGGTGAGAAGATTCACCAGAGACAGAGTGGGGAGCAGAACAGATGGATGGACTGAAATACACTGCTGAGGGGAGCAGCGGGGAGACAGGAGGGGTCTGCTGCTCCTTGGCCAGGATCAAACTCAGGCTGCAGTGGTGACAGCACTGAGCTCGAGGCCAGGGGCCCAGTCTCTTACTGCAGCATCTAGGTGCCCAACCACCTGCCTTCCCCCGCTACAGGACCACAGGTAATGCTAACAATCTGCGGCCCAATCCAGCAGTCATTAGCCATGGACAGCTCCCTGTCAGCTACAATTAAATAAAACTAGATCTCCATTCCTCAGTTGTACCACATGTTCAATAATCACAGGGAGCTAGCTGGTAATGCAGAATTACAGAACGTTTCCACCACCAGAGAAAGTTCTGGACGGTACTGCTGTCAAAGGCCTGTGTGGTCCTGGGGATGCAGCCACAGCCCTCACAGTCTGGGGACACCACGAATTGACCCCAGCACCTTCACACCAGGCTCAGGACCTGCCCCAAGCCCCAGCTGTGTGCAGATCAGCTGCAGGACACTGAGGCTGCACTCAGGAAGCCAACAGCCCAGGGTGTGTGACGGGAAGGCCTTTGGTTAGCTTTGTCTTCCTCTGTTCCTACCCACAGGAGGTGGCTTACCCTGTCTACCTCCTGAGAAGGGCTGGAATTTTCCACTACAACCTGGCGGCTGGCTCACCATGCTGTGGAGAAGGCAGACCAGCCTCAGTTTTGGGATCAAAGTGACTAGAGAGCTGTTTCTCCCCAGGGATATGGGAATGGACATTGCTTCTCCTGTCCAGCCCTGGCTTGAGGGGAAGGAGTCAGCAAGAATAAGGCTGGACCGGGGTTCAAATCCTGCCTCCTTCACTCACAGCTAAGAGCGCTAGCAAATCCCCTTTACATTTCCACTGCCACCTTCTCCCATGTGCTCTTGGGAGGAAAAACGTGCACGCCATGCAGTCCATGAGGCCATGGACACGCGACGGGCTGTGGCAGGGCGCCCTGTGCAAACACAGACGTGGCACCGAGGGACGACCATGCTGGCTTACTTTCACTTCCTCCGTGACCTGGAAGTCCTCATGGACAACATTCTCAACTTCGACCATGAGCACCTCGCCAGGGGAGCCCGAGGCGGGCTCCATGACCACGTCCATCTGGCGCCTGGAATTCGAGTCCTCCTCCGCATCCTTCTTGCCTCGCTTGGGCTTCCTGCGGGGCTTCTGCTTATTTTCAGCATCAGACTCCTCCGGCTCCACCTCCAGTTGTCTGTTGATATGAATCCTAGGACAGAAGGGAGGCAGAGATGATACCTGAGGCTGGAAGGTGCCTACCCCAAGGGAGGCTCCCCGTGCTGATCACTATGGGTCCCCCCAGCCTCAGTGCTGCAATTACCCCAGCAGGTAGTCTATGGGGCTCCAGAACAGGAGGCCAAGCTGCTACCAGTGGCCACCCCTGACTTCAGTTAGTCCCATTCTGTTTCCCATCCCAAGATCCCACTGTCCTTTGTGAATGTCAAGCATACGGGATAAGCCAGCACTAAGTAGCACTGGGGCCCATCCAGAGCCGTCTCTGGGCCTCTGCCTGCCCCTCCTTCAGCCTCAAGCTCACCATAGTTGCCTTCCACCACCATTCAGCTCTGGCTTCAAAAGGTACCGTCTCCAAGAAGCCCTCCCTGGTCAGCCTCCACATACACACCTCCCCCTTCAGAATTCAGCATGTGACGTATTTTACAGGCCCATGTCATCTCATTTGTGGGGTGGATTCCCTAAGATGAGCCCTTTCCTGATTCCCTATTCACACCAAAGTGCCCAGCAGACACCAGGCCGGGGCAAACACGCTCAATGGAGACACGCTATAACCTCTGACTCGCCTACGATGCACAGGGATAACTAGTATCAGTATCTTCTTCAGAGGGTCGGGGCCAAAGCTACCTGGGAGGTGAACTCAGTGCCCAGCTGCCAGACACCAGAAAGTTAGGGGTTCGGTAACACCAAGTCAGCAACACCAAGTCAGCCTGGTCCTGAGACAGCAGGACGCATCCAGTAAGGCGCCCTGAAGGCGGCGGAGCGCTCACTCGCTGCCACTTTATTTTCAGCTGCGCCTTATCATTCCCTCTGGCCACTGAAGCCTTCCGGGAGACAGGAGAGTAGCCTATTCCCTAGAACTCTGACGTGAGCAAAGGAAGATAGGCGTGGGGCTGAGTCCCACGGAAACAGCACCAGGATCGTGCAGAATGGCCGAATGTGCCGTGGCTGCGCCGCCCAGCTCACACACATACAAAAGGATGGAAGACTAAACGGAACGCCCGTCACGCGGGCTAGGTCTTGGATGGGGCTTTTCAGAGCATTTACTGACAGCCCGAGTCCCTGGAACGTTTCCCACATTTGACTTCGGATCCTCCTGAGGCCCGAGCTCCTTGAAACATGCCACGGAGAGCTTCCGCCAGCTGAGCTCGGAGCCTTTCCTAGTGACTGCAGTGCGGTCTCGCGCAGCCTCTAGCTTAAGAACAGCAGGACTCAGACACTACGCCGTGCGTCCGGGCAGGAGAGCCACAAGCCACGGGGCAGGGAGTGCAGAGGGGCCTGCCGGCACCCCTGCTGGCACGAGCGGACATGGCCCCTGGAGGAAACAGCCCACCGGGAACGGCCGACAACACCCAGAGACACAATTTGAGCTCGCGTGCTACTGCGATGCTTTCTGGCCGACCACCCACACCACATTAAGGGGACTCTGCGAAGGGGGACCCAGAAATAACACGCCCCAGCCCTCATCTTCAGCCTGGCTTCGTCATCGTGATAAGGACCCAGGGCTGATGGAAGAGGACCGTTCCGTGCTAGAACAGGAGGCGCCCCGGGCCACTCTTCCTGCCCTGTCCTGTGAGGTCAGCCATGCACCTTCTGTGTCCCATAACGATCATGCGCAGCTTGTCCCCAAGGTCCTGCATCTCGTGGATCTGGACAAACGTCCCAGTATGGTAGACTTCATCCAGGCTCTCCACCACGTCGGACTCATTGCTGGGGGAGAGGGACACAAAGAGTCATCAGAACAGGGGCTCGGTTCTCAGGGGGCTGTCTCACACTAAGGGAGGGGGGAGAAGAAACGCCCTCACTGGCCTTGAAAACCAGCAGCGGCTGCAAGGTTCTCACAGCAGCTCCGGGGGTGAGGGCGGCCAGCAGTGGTGACAGCAAGACGGTGCCGCCAGCCCAGTCAGCCGGGTGGGGGTGGGATGCAGACAGGATCCCGGTTCCAGTCCACACTCCCGTTACCTAGTCTGCTTAAAATGTATCTTAACTGGGAAGTGGAACTGCCTCCTACCACCAAGGTGGACGTAGCAGAGCCGTGATATCTGTCCACCTACTCTGGGTTCAGTGGGTTCCCAGGGGTGTTACCACTAAGGGCCCTGGAGGTGAAGACCCGCCCACATTCGGAGAGCACGAGGCCGGGCACTGCCAGCTGAGTCCTCAGCCCAGACTAAACAGCTGTGCTTGGCTCCTGGCCTTGTCCCCTTGCTTGGTTTCAAGTCAAGCTTGAAAGCTACTATTTGAACTTGAAGCAAGCTGCTCTGAAACAGGATTTATAGTGAGCCACACTCCTAGGCAGTTTCAACAAAGGAGTGAAGGAAAAATTGCACTTACTTGTCATCTCTCTTTAGAAAGACGCCGGCATATGGCTGGGCAAGACGGACTTTCCTTCTTAGCAGCTCAACCAACTTCTTATTTTTAACCTAGCATGACAATGACCCCAAAGTGAAATGCAGGGTAGGTTTTCTAGCTGACATTTTGACAGCAGCTCTGTTTTCTGTGATTCTCTGGGGATGATCTTATCTGATCCAAGAAACTAACTGAACATGGTCCTGGAACCTCTGAACCTTAAAAAAAGAAACAAGACGGCTGTGTGAAGCACGGAGTAGGGGAGTGTGGACTAGCAGCACGCCGGGAGGCTCTTCCCCTCACCTAAAGAACACTCCAAGGGGACAAGTGGCAAGAACCAAGAAATTGATTTGGCCTCCAACTTCAAGAGCTGTTCAGTGGTGATATTTGTTGGAAAATCTAAACCATGCTGATTTACCCAAAATTGGAAGTAACTTCCTCCAGTTTTCATTAGAAGTATTTCCCAATCACATCTCTATTACTCATCAATCACCAAGTGCCCCAGAGTCATAGTCTATTCTTGATGGCAGGTAGGAGATTCATGGTATTTTCTAGGAAACACTGCTGGGAGCAGGTCACGCTGTACAGATGTCTCAAGGGCCAAGTGATTTCTTTCCAGGTCAGATCGCCCATAGAGCTCCCATACAGCTCTAAGAAATGAGGCCCTATTATTATGTCCTCTGAGCCATGAGAGTAACCACTACTTAGCGCCAAGGAAGGGCGCTGGCTGAGACAAATGACAGTGTGGGGGAGAGGTGGAAAGGGGCTCCTACCATTGCCCCCACCGACTGGCTGATGTCCCTCTATATCGCCTTTTCCCTTTCCAAGGGATTACTGAGATTTATTTAGCAGAGACTGGAGTGTGTATGTGGTGGGGGAGGGAGGGGAGATGAAAAGGAGGCTGACTCACTCCATGACCTTGCTGTAACAGTAAACAGATAACCTTTCTCCTTCTTTCCACTTGGGAGAACTAAAAAAAGTGGGGAAATGGAAGGCATCTGAGTCCTTCCTACACTAAAATCTTAAGTTCCTGCATTCTTGTTGCTTTCACTCTATTACATCACCCTCAATCCACCCCTCCCCCTTCTTTATGGATCTTAGTCTGACATCATCTCTCTTGTTAAACCTCTTTTCATCGGAACCTAAATTCCTTAGAGTTTGCATTTGACCTGTTGGCTGCTGTATTTAGTATCTGCTACAGGCAGGAGGCCAAAAATACTATGCCACTGAATAAAGAACATCCTTCTTCCAACTTCCTAGGTTTTCCCCCTGCTATTATTTGTTGTACAACACAGAATTCACTTACTAATCTTGTTTATCACCTTTCATAATTTGCTATAGAGTGTAAGTTCCGAATACAAGGATTTTTGTCGTTCTTAATTCATCTGTGTCCCTAACGTCTAGAACTATACTTAGCACAAAATGGCGATCTAGAAATGTTTTAGTAAGGAATGCCACCTGATCCCAAAAGGGCTTGTAACTGTAAGGCATATATCTCCTTGATTGGGGCGGGGGGTGGGGGGGCAAGGCAGGGGGAAAGCAGGGCCCACTCCAGTCCTGGCCCTCAGTGCCGGTTTCTATGACTAGGACTCTAATTAGGCAGTCAGGTGCTTGTTGGGCGGAACCCCCTTTAAGGACCCTTAACGAGGGAGGAGTTTATATCCAGTTCATCAAACTAGTAGTGAGCACGCAACGATTAGAACGCCAGCATTTCACAAGCTTCATGTCTGAAGAGTGCGACGCACGAAATGCTAGGTGATCCCTCCGTTCAACCCGCTGCTTGCAGAGATGGGGAAACAGAGGCCAAGGCGGGGCTCTCATTACCTCGATAATCTTGATAAAGCGCGGGAACACTGGGTTGCGAGTAACGGCGATGAGCGGCAGGTGCGGGAACACGTCCGGGATCGTCATGGGCGTCAGCGCCGTTATGACCGGGCCTTCTCCACCGCCCGAGCTGCCCGCCGCGCCCGTGGTCCCGTCCTCCGCGCCGCCCTCGGGTGCATCCTCGCCGCTTGAGAATGAGCCGCCACTCCCGCCGCGGCTGTTCGCATCCCAAAGCTCCCGCCACTGGCCCGCGGATGCGGGGCTTCGGCCCCAGAGCGCCCAGGGAGGCGAGGCTTCGCAAGCCCGCCGGCCTCTGGGGAACCACGCTCCGGCCGCAGTCGGGACCCTGCCCCCAGCGGCGGCCAGCAGCGGCCGCCGCAGGGCCCAACACCGCGCAGCTCCCCACAGCCGCACACAGCCTGTGCCCGCCGCCATGGCCCGGCCATCCTGGCGGCGCGCGGGACTTGCGTCATTTCCGCCGGCCGCGCTGGGGCGCACGTGACGCCGCGCGCGTGCCTCGGCGTCCGTGATCCGCTACGGGGAACAGAGGGTGGAGGCCGGGAAGGGTGGGCGGGGCCTGCGCTCCTTCCTTGCGTCCACCCCTCTGGCTCTCCCCTTCACGTGGAGGACTGAGGCCAAGTGCCCGATCCCTAGAAAGAGAAGCGCTGTGGCTGCAAGCGCGGCTTTGGGAACATATGACCAGCCTCGGCCATGCGCTTAGATGTCTGGGCGCGTGGTGGAAAGAGCTTATTTAGAGTGTGGGGCACGTCACGGCGGGCGGGCTTTGTATTCCCGAGCGACGCTAGGCGCATGCTCAACACGTAGACGCCCCAGGCCCGGCTCGGGGGTGTGTGGAGGTGGGCGTACGCGGGGAAGACGACGCAAGCTCCGACTCCCGGGCGCTCGCGCCCCTGTGCGCATGCGTAGCTCTCTGGCCCGCCGCGTCGTGCCCGGAGACCCCCCGCGGCGGTTGAGGGGGCTGTCGTGGCGGCGGGACCTCTAGCGAGATGCTGGCGTGGTTGCTGTTGGCGGCGGCGACTTTGCGGCTCTGCCCACTGGCCAGATCTCAGTCGTTGTGCCGGTGGGGCCGCCCTTCTGGGGATAGGGTGCTCCTTGGGGTCAAGGGGGCTGGCTTTTCTTGGAAAGACGCGGGACCCCCCAACCTAATTGAGGCTTTTCAGTTTATTTACTCTTTCAGGCGCAGAACTTGGTACTTCTCCAGCCCATCACCGGGTCCTGCAGGGCCACCTGGAGACTTTCGTCCATTCCGCCCCTGCACGTCACCTCGTTGTCACCTCCCTGGCTTGGTCCTCATTTATCGATTATTTAATGTATTATTAATCTATTATTTCTTTACCCAGCAGCCTGAGGGACTGTTTATAAACGAATCTGAGGCACCTCCTTGTGCAGGCTGCATTTCCCCGTACGATCTGACCCGGTTTCTCAGTTGCAGCATGGCTGATATTTGGGGCCCATCATCCTTGGGTGGGCTGTACATTGTAGTGTGTTGAGCAGCATCTCTGTTCTCCCACTGGATGTCAGCCACCGGATGCCACCCACAAGTTCTTCCCCTGGCTTGACAATTAAAATGTGATTTGACAACCAGTAATTTGCCCCTGGCCCTCCCCTGGTTAACAGCTCCCCATCTATTAAACAGGCTAAGCGTGGTCCAGCTTTGGGGGGTGGTAATCTTGGCATTTGCTGTTCCTCTGTCTGGCACACGTTTCTTCCAGATTGCTCCTTAACTGGTTCCTCATTATTCAAATCCCGACTTAAACACATTTCCTTACATAAAGCCTCCCTTGTTCCCATAGATGCTTTTTCTTATGTTACTACATTGTTTTGTTTTTGACTATTTTTGTTGCTGTCACTAGAAGATTAGCTTCATGGGGGTGTAGAGTTTATCTTACTCACTTTTTAGACAGTCCATTTTAAATTTGAAGTAAATAGTAGACTAGTGAATATGCAGGCTGCCTAGGGGACTAGACATGCCAACACCCACTCCCTGGCCTGGAGAAGCACCTATCTCCAGCAATTTGTCACATTTTGCAGGCTTTTTTTTTTTTTTTAAAGATTCATCTATTTATAGAAGAACGGGGGTACATGCCAGAGGTGCTGGGGGTGAGAGGAATCACCAGAGACAGTGGGGAGCAGAAGAGGCAGATCAACTGAAATAGACTGCTGAAGGGAGCAGCAGGCAAGACAGGAGAGGTCTGCTGTGCCATGTGGGTGAGCTCCCTGGCTGGGGACGGAGCCCGTGCTGCAGTAGCTGTGGACAGCTTCATAGTGCTGTGCTTTAACCTGATGCACCACCAGGAAGGACCCCAGGCCTTGTTTTTTGCTGAAATAGTGAATGACTTCTGGTGTATGGCCTCCTTTGATTTTTACACTGTTCTTCACAGCATAGTGGTTCCTTAATCTTATTTTATAGATTTGAAAACGGACGCGTATCGCAATAGGAGTAGGGCACAGCGGCAGTAGGTGTAGCAGTAGCAGTAGCTGGAGTGCAGCAGAATCAAAGACTCCACTGGGTCTTCGCCGTTCTACTGAATCAGAGACTCAGAGCAGGGAGCCAGTGATCTGTGGCTGGTCACGCTATCCAGATAGCTTCTGGATCTACTTCCAAGACTGAGAACCCCTGCTGTAAACTGCTCTTCCAGCCACCAACATCTCTCCCCATCCCCAAAAGAGAAGAATTCTTTGGAGTAGAAGTTCCTAATCTTCCTCACTAGGGTCTGCAAATGAATCTTCGTGAGCACTCAGAATTTTATCTTCATTCTTGTGTAGGCATATGTCTGTTTCTGGGAGGAAAAGGGCCCCAGCTTCATCAGGTTTTCCAGGGGCTATTATAACCCTGAAAGCATAAAAAATAAAGGTAACCTGGAGGCACCCAGGTGTGCATTATGCCAATATTCAATAAAGATTGACCGGTGGCCTCTCTTGTCCCTTCCTCCAGTGTTCACACGGTGAGGACGGGAAAGGTGTTTCATCACGTACAGCAAATTGAAGGGGTATGTGAGTCCATACTTCACATTCATTCCTCCCTTCTATCTAATCACTGAGTCAGAACTGACATTTTCCAGTATTTCTTGGGTGCCAGTGTTGTGTCAGCCTTAGAACAGTCATGCTTATCATTGCCCTTCGAAGTAGGAATGTTTCTTGCCGTTTCACAAGGGAGAAAAGAAAGTTAAGAAAGGTCAAAGATCCTGGACAAACCAAGAGAACTGGGTTTAGAACTCAGACCGCATCTGTCCACTATTCTTTTTGATATATTGTAAAATCTGTTGAACAATACAGGGTTAGGGGTGTTGACTCGCACCCCTCCCCAAGCAGTCAGAAATCTACCTGTAACTTTCAACTATCCAGAAACTTTACTAATAGCTTACTATGATGGGAGGCCTTATAACAACAATTGATTGGTACATATTTTCTATATTGGGCATAGTATTCTTTCAGTAAAGTAATCTAGCAAAAAATAAAGCATTTAAGAAAATTGTAAGAAAAATATATTTACTTGTTGAAAAAGATAGGCAGCTAAGTGTACCCTCACAGTTCAAATCCATGTTGCTAAGGGTCCACTGTACTTTTTTTACATGACATTTTGCAACAAGAAACTTGCTGTACTGCTCCCCCCCCCGAAAATTCACAAATATTTTAAACTATTTTGGCCTCTTTTTTCAAATAACTAATAATCTTAAGTAACTTGTATATGAAATGAGATGTGGTGAATCTTAACTTTTTATTTTGATAACAGCATAGATTCACAACTAGTTGCAAAAACAGTCGAGAGGTGTCCTGCAAACCTTTACCCAGCTTCCTTCAGGGTGACAGCTGACATAACCCAAGTACAGTTGGCCCTTGAGCAACATGCATTTTTTTTTAAAGATTTATTTTTGCATACAGAACTAGGGTAAAGGCCAGAAGTGTAGGAGTGTTGAGAGGATTCCCCAGAGACAGAGTGGGGAGTAGAACAGGCTGACTAATGAAGTCCACTGCTGAGGGAAGCGGTGGGCGGGTCAGGAGAGGTCTGCCGCGCCATGTGGGTCACCTCTGGGGCAGGGATCAAACTCGTGCTGAAGTGGCTTTAGCTTCTTAGTGCTGTGTTTTAACCTGCTGTGCCACCTGGGAGGGCCCACAACATGCATTTTTTTTAATTGTTTATTCATGCATATAAGAACTGGGGTATGGGGCAGAGGTCCAGGGGGTGAGAGGATTCACCAGAGACAGAGTGAGGAGCAAAACAGGCAGATGGGCGGAGCAGTGGGCGGGTCAGGAGAGGTCTGCTGCACCATGTGGGTCACCTCCCTGGCTGGGGCTTGAACTCGTGCTGCAGTGGTTTTGGATACCTTCACAGTGCTGTGCTTGAATTTTCTTATAAACAGATGTGACTTTGTGGTATCAGCTAGTATAGTGCAGAACATTGCAAATGAGTTTTATAACTTTCTTAATAACAGTTTTTCTTTAGCTTAATTGTAAGAATACAATATACAATACATAATAACCTACAAAAATGATTGACTGTTTATGTTGTCAATAAGGCTTCCAGTCAACAGCATCTTATTAGTAGATAAGATTTTGGAGAGTCAAAAGTTACATGTGGTTTTTTTCTGGGGACTCAGTGCTCCTAACCCCTGTATTATAGGGTTAAGTGTGTGACAGGAAAATGACATTGACATGATCCACCCAGCCGATTGAGATTTCATCTTTACATGTTCTGTGTTGCAAAACAGAAAGTTGTTTTTCTTGGGTGTTGATTATTATTAAGATCTTGTCACTATGTCTCTAGGACCAGCTGTATTATTCTTCTACGACACCACGCTTGATTAAACATCCTTGTCAGAAAAGTGTAGCCCTGTATTTAGGGTAAGTGAACATTTTATGTATTGTTCAATTCTTTTTTACTAAAATGTTATATTTTCCCCCTTATTTATTCAGTAAACATTAAGGAAGATGTCTCTGTCCTCTGTTGCTAGTCGCTGGTCTGCAGGGAATCCATAGCTGGGTTAGAGTCAGAGGAAGAGAGCAGCAAGTAACTAAAGTAATGACAGTCTAATGTAATGCCACTTGTCCAAGTTCCTTGACATGAGCACTCATGGGGATTGGGTACACTGGGAAGAGAATGTTTCCTAAGGTTCTGCTGGGGGATTGATGCCTTAACTGGGTTTTGAAGGATGAAAAACTCACCACGAGGGAAATGAGAACCAAATATAAATGGCCTTAGGGCATTCAAAGCAGTGGAAACCTCCTGTCCAATATGTACTTGGCATGTCAGGTGCAAGGTTATAAAATCAGATATGTGAGCCTCCCTTGTAGCCAAGGGGTTAAGTCTCAGCATCATCAACCCTATTAATCCCTGGCCAGGGAGGTAACCCACATGGCACCTGACCTCTCCTGGCCTGCCCACTACTCCCCTCAACAGTACATTTCAGTACATCTGTCTGTTCTGCTCCCCGTCTGTCTCTTGTAAATCCTCTTACACAACACACACACACACACATTTGCTCTGCCGGCCTAGATCCAGTTCTTCTATACAAGAAAAAAAAAAAAGATGTAAAGAAGGTAGAGTTACATAGAAAAACACAAAAAAGAAGTAAAGGAGGTAGAGTTACATAGAAAAACACAAAGGATCACAAGAAATTGTTATGAACATCTACATGCAAACAAATTGGATAACCTAGAAGAAACAAATTATTAGAATCAGACAACCTTCCAAGATGAACCAGGACAAAATAGCTTGAAGAGGCCAGTCACAAGCACAGAAATTGAAAGAGTAAATAAAATGTCCCCTAAGAACAAAAGCCCAGGATGAGATGGTTTTACTAGTAAACTACCAAACTTTCAGAAGATCTAATGCCTACTAGCCTCCTTCATGCTTCAATTAGAAACTGAAACAGGAGGAAAATTCCCAGACACATTTTATGAGGTCTACAGTGCCCTGATCAAAAAAGACAACAACAACAAAAACCATCTATCAATAGACACAAAACTCTTAAACAAAATCTTTGCAAATAGAATCTAGCAATATATTAAGAGGATCATGCATCATGATTAAGTGGGATTCATTCCAAAGACACAGGGCTGTTTCAACGTAGGCAAATCAATCAGTGATACTCAACACATTAACAAAGAAAGATAAAAATCATGATCATTTCAATACATGCTAAAAAGCATCACAAATCTTCAAGTAACATCATACTCATGTGAAAAACTGAAAACATCTTCCTTCAGAACAGGATAAAGTTTTGGTAGAGGACACACATGCGGAGGTATGAAACCACATTCCCAACATTATTCAGTAATATAATGGTTGGCCAAGGAATTATGCACAATGCAACATAAAAAAAAAAAATAGGATGGTGCCAGGGCTGGGGGAAAGGGATGGAGAAATAGTGTTTAATAGCACAGAATTTCAGTTTGGGAAGAAGAAAAAAGTTCTGGAGAGGGAGGAGGAGGATGGTTGCATAAACACCTGTGAGTATGCTTAGACAAGGCAATTATGAAAAATTCTCTTAACAATAGTAACTAAAACATTCAAGTACATAGGATTTAAGTCAGGAATTTGTTTTGTTTATAACTATAAAACTCTTCTAAAGGAGAGAAAAGACCTAGCTAAAGAATAGGTAAACCATGTTCATGGACCCTTTCAATTCATAGACATCTCCTACAAGAGGGGACTTGTTTCTCTCTATAGACGTGTTTCTCGTCTGAGCCATTTACTTTAGTGGGATTAGAGCACTGAAGTTCCTCTTGAGCAAGATAAGCTGTCACTTAATATAGACTGGATGTAATTTTATATTTGACATAATCACAGTTTTAACTTAACATTATTTCATGAAGTCAAACACCCACATTTTAGATGTTTATGGAAGAAGGGAGGGAGAGAGGCGAGAGGGAACAGGAGGAAAGGAGACTTAAATGATTTCTTCCTAAAAAGGAATTTTGTTTTGAGTGGGATAGTCTTACAGTACTTGTAATTGTCTCTTTTCTTTCTGCATGTGAACTTGTCCTAATTTAATTCCTTCATTGTGTATTTCAGAAAGAACGTTTTTTTCACAAGAGATGGTTTTATGAGTAGTCTCCTTCCACTTTCCATCCCTGCATCAATGATGGTAGCTATTTTGCTGAATAATCTGAAGGATGCTTGAAAAAAGTAATACTCATGGGGAAGATACAGTGTGGAAGTATCACACTCGTCTGTTTTTGTTAGCTTGCTGTTTATTTTACAACATACTTAAAAACACAGACGAGCAATTTCTGAGCCGAAAGAATGGTTGATTCTATTTGGCCCTCACTGCCAAAGGCTCTCTTTTTTTGTTTTTTTGTTTTTTCAAAAAATAAAAAGGAAGCAGAATGCTGCAAGTACCACCTCCACTGTGCTTTATGAATAGATCACACACTAACTTCAAGCCCTCCTTAACTTGTTCTAAACCGAAATAGAAATCTCTCAGAAAATGTGTGAGAAAAATTCTACCATTGAGCCCTAAAGGAGATTTTGTCATTGATTAAAATATCAATGATTTTTCTTTGAAGTGACACTTCAGTCAGTCATCACTTCAAACTTCAGGTTTTTACCCTCAGAGAAGCTCTCATCAGGGAGAAGGAAATGGAAAGTATTTAGGTATCTAAAAGTACCAAACACCAACTTCAACCTCCTAGTTTTGAGTACAGTTCCCAATGTCTAGGAGCCAAACAACTCTTGCTGACCTAAGTGTTTCTTGGAGGTGTGTCTAAAACTGTCAACTTCTGAGTCAGTGTCTGATAAAATGCGCTTATTGAATTGTTTTTATTACTATTTTTAGGTTGGCAAACCAGAAGTCACATCAGCACATTTTGCTGGTTCAATATTGCTATTAGTCGTGAATCAAAAAGTTTATGTTTATGATTATGAAGAAAACAGCTGGAGTAAATCTTTAGGTATGTGTGTTTTATGTTTTTTTCTTTTCTTTAATTTCAGCCAACGTCAGAGAAAAGGTTACTGCTTTTGGAAATACAAACTATATTGCTACATGGCTATCAGGCCCCAGACATTAATCATGCCTTTGCAATTCAGATAAAAATTGGCCCAATTTCCATTCCCTGGGGTAGGAATCTAGTGTTTTCCTTAGGGATTATAGTTGGAAGTCAAGAAAACCTAGTTTGACTAATTGAAGTAAAGGAGAGACATGAGCAGGATTTGCAAGGAGTTAGAAATTGCTGCCTGTTGACTTCTCTGTTGGGGAGGGATATACTGAGTCTCACACAGGTTCGCGTGTTGCTAATGACAGGAACAGTTTTGAGAAGTGGGTCCAGAGGCAATTTTGTAGGTGTGTAATGTCACAGAAGGCAGTTACACAAATCTTGATTTTAGCCTACAGCACAACTAAATCATACGGTACAGCCTGACAGGGCCACTGCTGTGTGTGCCGCCTGTCACTGACAGGGCAACACCGAGCAACGACTGTACTTCCTGCAACAGAAGTGACGGTCAGTTTTATGAAGAGAGCGAAAGAGAGCACTGATGTAAGATGCAAGGCGGGAGACATTAACTTTAGAAAAGAATGTTACAGCTGTGATTAGAACGGAACCTTCTCTTTGCCTGAAGAGGGGAGGACGGTGAGAGGTCAGCGCGAGGTTTCTCGACCTCGGCATTCCTGACAGGTTTCTCGACCTCGGCATTCCTGACAGTGCTGTGTCACTGTGGGGCTGCTCCAGGCTGGGGGGAGGGGGCGTTGAGGAGCATGCCAGGAAGATTCCCTCCCACCCCCCCCCCCCCCGCCATACTCTTGGAAATAAGAATGTCCTGAGATATTGCCCAGTACATTCTGGGGGGTAAAATCCCCTCAGATGAGAAACACCCAGTTGGTAAATCTCCACTTGGCAATTTGTTGTATTTTGCTTCACTTGTACAGTAAGTTCTCACTTAAAGTCATCAATAAGTTCTTGGAGGGATCCTCCCTGGTGGCACAAGGGGTTGAGTTGCAGCACTATGAAGATATTAGCAACCACTGCAGCACAAGTTTGATCCCCGGCCAGGGGCTGACCCACATGGCGCAGCAGACCTCTCCTCTCCAGCCCACTGCTCCTATCAGTGTGTTTCAGTAGATCCAACTGGTCAGCTCCCCACTGTCTCTGGTGACTCCTCTCACATCCCTGCGCCTCTGGCCTGCACCCCAGTTCTTATATGCATAAATAAAAGAGAAATTTCTTGGAAATTGACTTGAAGCAAAAACAATGTATAATGAAACCAGATTTACCACAGGCTCACCGATGGAAACCAGAGTTAAGTTTCTAGCACATATTTCAGGTCACCAAAAATATCACCCAAACCTCTAAATAAACTCCTAAACCACTTCTAATATCCAACAATCATCCTGATTCACTCATTTTCCACCCAGCTATTCCAGCTCAGGACCTCAGGGGCCAGAGCCCATCCTGGCAGCTGCGAACACAGTGGGCACCTAACTGTGGACCGAGCCCTCAGGCCACCTGTGCACTTAGGCCGGCACCCCAGACACGCCAGTGAACCTCTGGACGTTCCCCAGAGGGAACGTGCCGACGCCACACCATGGCGGCTGGCTGGGAAGCCATTGTTTCTTTTCTCATCCGTGTTAATAACGAAGCGGGGCGACGTTATTCAAGGATGTTCTGAATTAGTTGTTTTGCTGCGACTGTGGTGGATGAGGTGGTGCCTTACCCCCTTCACACAGAGCCTGCCTGCCAGGTGTGTCAAACTCTGCTGGGGAATTGACTGCTCTCATCAGGGTGTGATGATGACGCTTCTGGCTGAAGTGTGGATACTGTCAGTCCATGTGTGGGGACGTGCTGTTTTGGGTCTAAAAATGGCTGGGAACATTCGCTTGGGTCTCAGTGAACTTCCCATAGACATTTTCCCCTTACGTCACTATTAAGACTGGACCTGCCTCTAGGGTTCTTATTGTGACTGTAAGGTGCCCTTCAGCAATGACCATCAGGACACTTGGGAGACAACAGAGGTTAATTACATGTAAGACCTGGAATTTACGCAGCATACTTGGGCCACAGGTAGCGAGTGGGGCCCCTCTATTACTGTGGGGGGTCTGGTGTTTCACAGGCACATTCTCTGCTGGTGAGTGTAAATCATAACAGTGGAATTTAAAATGTGGGAATAAAGAAAGGAAGCAGGTCAGTCCCAACCGGCCAGTTACCTGAGCCAACCAGGGCCTATAAACAGGCCTTCCAGACCGCAGTGTGGCTCTCATCCGGCCACGTGAGTGGCAGCCCATGTCTGGGCTGGGCCTCCTGAAGGTGGACGCCTCCCCAGCAAAACTTGGTTCAGGTACCTGCATTACCAAGAGGAAAGTCAACTGTCAGGGTTTACCTCACTTATGTGTAACACTGGGTCCAGTCTCGGAACCACCTTGTCAATTTGTCACACGCAAACCCAGTACACATCGGAATCTAAGGGGAATAGTCCTACTCTTCAGAGAACTTCCACCTACAGCTAAACTGCCCTCACTCCCGCTCCTCTCCTGATGTTCCAGATCAATTTTTTTCTCTCTCTCAGTTCATGATTTTCTTTGAGGCAAGGGAGCATAAATTTGCATAAATCTCACATTCGATTGTATAATTAAGAAGTACTTAGCATATTTACAAGGTGGTATAACTATTACCCCATCACCCTAAAAAGAAGCCCATCCACACTAACTACTCACTCTATTCCTTCTCCTCCAGCTCCTAACAACAATTAGTCCATATTTTGTCTGTTGATTTGCTTGTTCTGGACATTTTCTGAAGTCACACAATGGTATTTTCTGTCTGGCTTCTCTTGCTGAGTATCATGTTTTGTTTTTTATAATCTTTTTGTTTAATATTTATTTTATTCACTTATGCATATAAGAACTGGGGTGCAGGCCAGAGGTGCAGGGAGTGAGAGGACTCACCAGAGACAGAGTGGGGAGCAGAACAGGCAGATCCACTGAAAAACACTGCTGAGGGGAGCAGCAGGGAAACAGGAGAGGTCTGCTGCGCCCTGTGGGTCACTCCCTGGCCAGGGATCGAACTCAGGCTGCAGTGGCTGCTAATAGCTTCATAGTGCTTTGCTTAAACCCCTTGCGCCACCAGGGAGGCCAGCACCATGTTTTTAAGGTCCATCTAGCCTGTGTCAGAACTTCACTCTCTTTTCTGGCCGAATGACATTCCAGTGTATGGATGTAACACTTGTTACTTCATTCATCAGCTTCTGGACATTTAAATTGTTTCCCTGTTTTGGCCATTGTAAATTGTGCTTCTGTGAACATTGTGTACAAGTTTTTGTGTGGACTTGTGTTTTCAATCGTCCTGGGGAGAGACTTAGGCATGGAGTTGCTGAGTTACATGGAAACTCCATATCTAGTTAATTAAGTAACCATCAGGGATTTTTACACTCTAAGTCAATCTGGTCTTGTCCTCTCCATTAACTTCTTGAGTAGCATCCAAAGAGCTAATTCCCCAGCCTCCTCCCTCGGGCCAGAGTGTCACCGTTTACTCGCTATGTGACCCGACTGCACTAGCAACCACTTACTTCTCCTCCGCACGTTGGGCACACACGTAGCCTGAGTCACTCCTTTACGGCTGAGGCCACCTTCGTTTATAGTCACTCACCTGGTGGTGAGTTTTTCTGCTTTTGGATTGCTTGTAGTTTTATTGTGAGTTACTATGAATATGAAGCATATGTACAAATATCTCTTTGAGCCTCTGCTCTTAATTTTGGGGGTATGTGCCAAAATAAATGAATAATTTTGGGGCACTAGGGACCGTATGGCCCTTCTGTTTTCTGGCCCTCTGCACGGTCTCCCACACTGCCTGCGCCATGCTACGTGCCCAGGAGCTGTGCACAGGGCTCTCTCTTCTCCACGTGCTCACCGACACTTGTTTCCGTTTCTTTGCTAGCAGCCTTCTCACGGGTGTGGGGGTTCTCAGGAGGCTCAACATTGTGTTTCCCTAATGGCCAGTGACACTGAGCATCTGTCTGCACATGCGCTTGTTATCATGTGTGAATTTCCTTTGGAAAAGGTTTTTGCTTTTAAAATAGCAACAAATTATTCCTTGCTAAGAGAAGTGAGCCTTTTCTGCAATTTTGGCGGGGCTTCTACAAAACCAGCGGTTCTCAAACTGATCGTTTTGCCAATCTGGACGTATTTGTGGGTGCATAGTAAGACGGAAGACTACTCCTGGCACGCAGTCCGGAGAGGCAGGTGCACAGGGCGGCCCCCGCCCCAGCGTGCCCTGACCCCCAGTGTGCGTCATGCCAAGGCCGGCGAGCCTGGCTCTAGCCAGCCTTCTCACTCAGCTACAGGAAATTCATGTAGCTAAACTCACGTAGTTAAATGAGCTTTTCCTTTCAGGTATACGACACCCTGTTTCACATATTTCTGGTGACAACTGTTGTTACAGTGGACAGCACTTTTGCTTGGTGAGTACAGCATGTTGCCCTTCACTGTTTTACTCTGCTCTGTAATCATGAATAAAAACAAGGACAGTAGATGTCTTTGGGGTTGGGCCGTAGGCAGTGTCATCTCCCCAGGATTCAGAAGAGGACCTGAGAAAAGAGAGGAACCCTGGAGTTTGCCGACTGACAAACTATCACTATATCCATGGTCCTTTATTTTTTTAATGTAATAGTTTATTTTTACATCATTTTGTTCCTTTTTCCATCTCAGTTGTCATCCCCCTGGGCTTCCTATCACCAAATCACCCATGTGCCATCACCATAGTCCCATGTACTTCCACCCCCCCGCCGCCATTTTTTATCCCATTTCCCATTCCACCCCCAAGGTCCTTTTTTTAACTTGTAAGTTTAAAAAAATCAGAAAGTCTACAGGATGTCAAAAAAATATATAGTACTCAGGCCCACATCCCTCTACCCAGCTGCCCACAGTGGTGACACCTGCAAAACTCTAATATGGTCGTGAGTCACTAGTGTCAGAGAAATGTGTCAGTAGGCAATTTCATAGTGAGTGAACATCACAGGGGTAATTACACAGACCATATGGCACAGCCTCTGTGCACTTAGGATAGATGGTAGAGGTCAATGCCACCACCATTATATATCTGGCCTAGCAATGACCAAAACACCTTTTTTTTTTTTTTTTTTTTAAGATTTATCCGTTTATGCACACAAGAGGTGCCGGGTGGGTGGTGAAAGACTTCACAAGAGACAGAGTGGGGAGCAGAACAGGCAGAAGTACACTGCTGAGGGGAGCAGCGGGCGGGTCAGGAGAGGCCTGCCGCGCCTTGTGGGTCACCTCCCTGGCTGGGGATTGAACTCATGCTGCAGTGCTGTGGATAGCTTCATAGTGCTGCTTGTTAACTCACTGTGCCACCAGGGAGGGCCCAACCAAAACATCTTTTAGGGGCACATATACTAAACCCAGCAAACTGATGTGGATACACGTGTTTCCCCAGAGCTATCTGTAACTCCATCCCTCAGCCCCGGTGACATCAATCTAACATCATATGTTGTGCCAACCTTCTGACTAGCCCTTCTCAGCAGAATTCTCTGAAGAGGCATCTCATTTGTTGTTGATATCTCCAGCTTATTCATTTCATTCGGCAATAGTCCATGGTGTGGATTTGCCAAATCCGCATTTTGAGCATTACAAGTAAAGCTGCTGTGAGCGTTTATGTACAAATTTTCATGTGGCTGTAAGTTTTCACTTTTCTGGGACACCCTTAACATCTCTTCTGTTTATGTCCTTTTTTAAAAAAATGGGGATATAGGCCTTCTCTGGTGGCGCAACAGGTTAAAGCACAGCACTGCAAGCCAGCTGCAGCTGCTACAGAGCAAGTTCGATTCCTGGCCTCAGAGGTGACCCACAGGGCGTGTCTCCCCGCTGCTCCCCTCAGCAGTGTACTTTGTTAATCTGCCTGTTCTGTTTCCCACTTTGTCTCCAATGAATCTTCTCACTGCCCTGCACCTCTGGTCTGTCCCTCAGTTCTGTATGAATAAACAAATAAATCTTAAAAAAATAAACTCATGTGTCCCTTAACAACATGTTGCATATAAACAGAATCACCCCAGGAGGCGCCCTATCTCGCCGAGGTGTCCGGGCTGTGCCATTGTCCTCACATTGCACCATGGCAGAGTGACTGTCACGGACATACAAAACTGCGGCGTTGGTGACAGTGATTTGATTTGATACTTTTATATATTACAACAGGATGACCACGGTAGCCTTAGTTAATGCCTCCATCACCACACCGAATTACCATTTCCTTACCAGTGCCCACAAGTGCATCTTTGTGGGAACAATTAAGATCTAGACTCTTAGCAACTTTGAGGTTTCTAATGTTGTGTGTCTGTCATCACTATGCTATGCATTAGATCTCCAGAACCTGTTATCTACTAGTTGAAGGTTTGTAGCTTAAAACAGCATCTCCACTGTCTTTCCTTTTTTTTTCTTTCAATATAAATACTAGCTGTTGTATTTTACATCTTTTAAAAAATATTTATTTATTTATGTATGCAAGAATTGGGGTGTAGGCCAGAGGTGTGGGGAGTAAGAAGATTCACCAGAGACAGAGTGGGGAGCAGGACAGGCAGATTGATGAAGTCCACTGCTGAGGGGAGCAGCGGGCGGGTCAGGAGAGGTCTGCTACGCTCTGTGGATCACCTCCGGGGCTGGGGATGGAACTTGCATTGAAGCAGCTGTGGCCAGCCTGTAGTGCTGTGTCCAAAACAGTTGCACCACCAGGGAGGACCTCTTTTTAAGAGATCACTTTATGGATGTGTTCTTTTCAAGGATATAAATGATGTGGTGTTTGCTTATTTGCTTGGAGAGAAAATATTAAAGGCCAATATATACATCTCAGCTACTCAGGGATATGGATTCCAGAAGATACCCAATGAAATACAGGTATGTCCAATTTGGTAAAGTGAACATTGAAAAAAAAAAACATAGTTTTATGGGGTTGGAGTAACTGTCTGTCAAAATCAGGTAAGTAAGGGCTTTTCTTTCTTTAAGAGCCCAACTGACGAGGAGGGTAGCAACAATTCCAGGTGAGAGAATTGTCTTAGGGGGACTAGGAAATTAGATAAGGGGACAAAAAGCCCTGAATCATAGCCCCACCAAGGGAGCACTGTAAAAGCAGGTGCTACACAAAACGCTACATTGATGTAAAAATAACCAGTTGGTTCCTGACCACTGTGAGCCTCTGACCTCCAGAACCTGTGGGTGTCGTGCGTGTGTGTGTGAGAGAGAGAGACAGAGAGAGACAGAGAGAGAGTGAGAGAGAAAGAGATGGTCAGAGAGAGAAAGAGATAGTCAGAGAGAGAGGGTCAGAGAGAATGAGCTCTCTGGCCTCGCTAATCCCATCTGAGGGCATTGCTCACAGGACCAATCCAAACTAGCCACCCCCCAAAGTCCCGTCTCCAAACACCATTCCACTGGGGAGCTGCAACAACTATTCAGGAAACACGCCACCCCCCAGCTCTCAGGCTGAAATCTTAGTGCCTGCTATGATGGTATTAGAAGTGGTGCCCACGGGCTCCTCAAACCCCGAGGTTGCAGCCCTCATGGGTGGGACGAGTGTCTTTATCAGAGCTGCTAGCTCGGTTGCCGTGAGGACCCCACAGGAAGGCCACAACCCAGAAGAGGGTCCTCATTTAACCCTGCCGGCACCGCAGCCTCCCGAACTGTGAGCAACTGCTGTCATTTGTAAGCCACCCAGCCTGTGGCATTTCGTCACAGCAGCCGGAATGGACTAACTCAGGGGCTGGGACTGCACAGCCAGGCGTCACTTAACACCAGGGCTGTGTCCTGAGAAACGCCGGTTGAGGCAGACGGCCAGTGTGGAGAGTTATAGACGGGACAGCCCGCTACGCACCAGGGCCGGAGGAGCGGGGCGTGTCGTCACTCGGACGTGGAGCTCATCGTTGAGCATGTGTCGTCGTGGGTGTGACTACATAGGACTTTGGGGGGCAATGTAGTCCACAGAACTGTATATTGGGGAGCCGCCTCCCGCCCCCAAATAACAGGTTTAAATAAGGTAGTGCCTTTCTCTCCCCCTGGAGATAGCAGCCGGGTGGCCACGCGACCTGCCCGTTATCCCGAGTTGGAGGTCGTGGCCTCACGGTCCAGCATGGCTGCTGCGCACGCTTCCTGCTGGCCCGAAACCAGGCAAAGGAATGCAGGCAGGAACGAAGCAAACAGGCGCAGGTTTCTAGCAGTCCGCAGCCTCGAGCGCTTTCTCCGACACCCAAACAAAGCTGTCTTGAATCAGGCTCTGCTCTAGAAGCTGCATTTCCATAGAGGTAGATGGTGTTAGAAAAAGACTTCGTCTTCATTTTGACTCGGTAGATAATGTGGGGTTATGTTCAGAACAAAACATGCTTTTAAGTTAGTCAAATGTGATATTCTTACCTGTTTTGCAGGAAGAAAAATTGGGGTCTGTGGGCGGGATCTTCTACTTCCACTCCTTGTCACAGATTGGGCTGCTGTTTGTAGAACAAGGGAAGGTAAGTAGCTCGGCACCCGCATGGCAAATTGACCTTGGCCCAAACCTGTTTTTGTTAAAACTCACAGCCTTAGACTTTCCTGTCTGAAACCATCTAGCTTTCCATTCCCTTGCTCGGGTGTACTTACATATCCAGTATTCTGCCCAGCCCCTCTTTCCTTCCCCCTCCTCCTCCTCCCTCCCTCTCTTCCTGTGTAGCCCCACCCATCAGCTCATCCATCTGCCTACCCACCCACCCACCATTCATGCATAGGCTGTCCTCTCCCTCCCCGGCCCTCTCCCTTCCCCATACCCTCAGCAGTCTGTACCCCAGCTGAGCCTCGGGGTACAATATAACTTGTAGGGCATAGCTCCTTAATAGCGCACAGATCATTTTAAATGCTTCGTGTCAAACCAGCTGTCAGTCCGAGGGGGCTGAGGGAGAGGGAAGAGGCACTAGTCTGTGCACATTACACTGGAAGGGAAAACATTCAGTCAGGAAAAAAAATACAGTCAGTACCCCAGTATTCAAAAATTGAGTGGGATACATAGCTCTGGATTTTGGGGCGGCCCCCCAGCAGGAAGCTTCTGGAAGCTGCCTGATAGTGGTCCCCTGGTTGGGCTGGCCTCCTTCCTGCTGAGCAAGAGCTGTCATGGCCTGGGCACGCAGATGCCCGCCACACCGGGAGCCCAGGCACTCGGCGGCTGAAACGCCCAGCCCGTGCCCACGCCTTGCTGATTCCCCGCTGCCCGCTGGCATCGTGAGGCCACCTGGCAGGGATCCATCCAAGGTGAAAGCGGCCCTCCTCCCCCAGATTCCGCTGCAGCCCCGCACCCCGGTTTCTGGGTTTCTGACGTACAGCGCCCTCGTGAGGCGCAGGCACCTGCCGGCCACGCTCTCGGCGCACTTGCGTTCTGAGCTCAGGCGTCCTTGTTCCACGCCTCTTTCTCTGTTCTCAGCTCTCCCAGCAGGGGCGCCAGGCCGCCTTTTGGAGAGAGAGGCGACTTGGCAGGCACTTCTCTCCATGGCTCAGTACCCGCACCTGGGTTTACGCAGCACTCGGGACCTGGCGCTCAGCGCTCAGTATTCTCTGCGCCTGTGCCTCGGCCTCCTCCCCCAGCCCAGGAAGGGGCCTTTGGCCCAGGGTCCTCCCCAGGGAGCGGAGCGCCACTCCTGTGCTGCTCCCGTGGCCCACCTGCTGGTGTCACCATCCGTGTGGCAGGCCAGAGCCCTGGAGGCAGCTCTGGCTCCCGCCAGTCTCTTGCTTGCCCACTGCAGTTGAGTGGTTAAAGCCTGAGCAAGCACTTGCTCCATTGGTTGTTGCCCCGTGGGCTACTCAGGCTGAGGGCGCCTCTCTGGGTCTGCAGTGCCCTCCGGCCAGCATGGTGGGCTGAGCAGGGCTGCCGACCTCCCCCCCTCCCCCACCGCGCGGCCTCCCAGCACATTGCATGCCGAAGTCTGGCTGTCCGGTGGGGCTGGCCGGGTCCACATTTAGCAGCCTATGCACAGTCCAGTCCAGTGCCGTGGCACGCTGGGCAATGTCCCTGACACCCACCTGCTCCATGCCAGCAGCCCCAGTCGTGACAATGCACGTCCTCAGACGTGGCTCACCGTCCTCTGGGGGAAAACCACACCCCTGTTGACAACCAATAGCTAGATGAGAAAGTTTGAATAACCAAGACTGTGGACCCTGAGGTGTTCCTTCGCCCCACAATTACTGGCTCGGTGATTGCTCTTATGACTCAAGATTTATTAGTCTTTCTTTCTCAGGCCATGTTTGGCTACTCTGACTACCCCCTGAACCGCAGTTACGGGGTGCCCTTTGACTACAACGAGACCCTCAACATCCTCCTCACCCCCGGCCAGAGAGGCATTCTCGTCCTCTGGTCTCAGAAGAGCCTGATGGTCTCCCGGAATGCAGGTGAGCGGGGGCCCGGGCATGGCCTCCCTCTTGTCTCCCCAACGCAAGTGGACAGTGATGACAAGCCAGCTTCCCTTCACAGTCCTCACGGGTCCTCCCTATCTCCTGCCTTACGGAATCTCCAGGGCCCTGTAGTCAGGTTCTGAAAGTCTGTGGACACTCGGGCGAGATCAGGTACATTCCGGGGCAAGTACCGCTGCAGGAAGTCACTGGACAGTCAGGACAGAGAGTCCAGATCTCCAGTCCAGGAGCTTCAGATCTTGTTTGGGGGGAAAGGTCAGGTACTCCAGAAGGAGGGCAGGGCCAGCTGCCTGAACCTCCTCTGGGCCGGAGCAATATGGGGAGACGGTCCAGCACCCCCAGCCTGCCTTATGGAAGAAGTCTGGTGATGCCCTGGCTAGGAGCAACCGTCCCCCTGGCGGGCATACGGCGAGGAGCAGAGCGAAGGGCAGCTCTCCCGAAGGCGGGAGCACTCGGGAGCACTGTGCAGGTTTGGCCACGAGTGTGGCCACAGCCATAGCTACTCCCAGCACCAGGCGGGCCCCTGACCTCGGCTGCTTCCCCCAGTGCATGGAAAGGGCTGGGAGCTGCTCACTCATTGGGGAACCCACCCCAGAAAGAGCTGTGCCTCGTTCCTCACACACTCGCCGTCCAGTCGTGTGGTGTTTGACAATTTCTCTGGTCCGCGTGGGCTCTCCACTGTGGCCCCAGGAGGCTCCACCACTGAGCCGGGCGTGTTGGCACAGCACATCTAGGTGTGGTGTCTGCACAAGGACACGGTCCCCCAGCCACGCACTTCTTGGGGTGTGCCCATCGCTAGGCGGTGCACAGCTAGAAAGTGAGACACTCTGTCAGGATCATGTCTCCAAAAGGCGAAAAGGGCTTTCTCTCATAAACTCCACAGCCACTCCTCACGCTTTTTGTGCTGAAGCGGCTCAGGGCAGCTGCATCCTCTTAACCCTAAGCGAATTCCTTAGGGTGATTTCCGCTGTGTTTCAGGGCGGTGCTTTCCTCGCAGTTATCCGAGTGACGGGACACAGCCTGCGTCTCACGTGAGGCCCCCTCTCCGGCTCGGGCCTCGGTCCTCACAATTCTGCCTGTTGTCTCCCAGGTCAGCTCGTCAGCCCCGTCTGGATACAGGAAAGACCCGGCCGCTCCTTCTACTCCACCTTTGAAGCCAACATCACCATCCACAATGTTGCCGCCAGTGCGTGCCTGACCTGCGGGTAGCTTTCTAGAAGAATTTTATACCTGGCTTCTTAAGCCAGCCTGCCCTACACACAACACAAAACACATTCTGGGAGGCTTGAGGCAACAAAAGCCGTGTCAGCGAGGAATAGGGAACGTTGTCATAGGCCCCACAGTGGAGATGCAGGACAACACATGTCTCTCAGGTCTGGAGGACAGACGCCTGAAATCCAAGAGTTTCCAGGCCTGTGCTGGAAGCCCAGCGCAGGATATACCTCAGGCCTCTCCCCTGGGCCTACTGAGGGCTGCCCACTCCCTGTGTCTCCACCATCCTCTGTGGGTGGTCCGGGTTGCCTCCTTTATAGGGACACGGCACAGATTGGGTTGGGACCACCATAATGACAATCGTAGCCTGACACTTCTGGAAAGACCATTTCCCATCAAGGTCACACCCTGAGGTTCTGGGGGTTAGGGCTCTAGCTCATCTTTCTGGGAGGGACACAGTTCAGTCCATAGAAGGTGGCATCCTTGGAATTTGTTTGCTGACAAATTGGTTTTCCTGAACAACTTTGGTCAGCACAGGCAAAATTCACCAGTATCACTTTTCACCTGACTTTAATTCTAGTTTGGAAACTGAGGCAAGTGGAGCAGTAAACGGTAGGCTCAAGTGCCTTTTAAGAATCAGTCTTTCCCTTGATCATTTTGCTGTAACTACTGTGTCCATTTTTCTATTTAAAATTATTTTTCAATTATAGAAGTGACTACCATAAAATTGGCTTTATAATTATGCCAGTGATGCCTGGTCCTTTGAAGTTTTTCTTAAATTACAATGCAATCAAAGTCCCTGTGACCAGCTCTCCACATCCAAGCTTCTCTGCAGCTTTCCTAGGGGGTAGCAACTGTTCGGAATGCCAGCTAGTAGGGAGACTCACAGTGTATATTAAATGGGAATCTGCTGAAAATGTGTAACATTATCTATATAGGTCTTTTTATTTTTTACATACATGGTGTCCTATTACTGCCATGTATCACTTCACGATAGAGGTAGGTTCTGGAAATATGTCAGTGGGTGACCTTGTGAGAAGGCCAGAGCCTTCTTTATGTGGAAGGACATAAACCCAGGTGGTTCGGCCCTCCACACCGGGGCTATGTGGTGCAGCTGCCTGTGCAGCCTGTGGGGACCCCTGTTGTAGATCTCGTCTGTTCTTGACTGAAATGTCCTCAGGTGACACGGGGCTGCACGGGGAGAGCCACTCTGCTGTGGGTCACTTGCATTGCTCATCACTCCTGTTACTTTGTGCTGAGAACATTTAACATGAGCTCCACCTTTTAACAAGTTCCCAAGTGCACAGAGCAGCACCACTGTAGGCACGTGTTGTACAGCATCGTCTAGGATGTATTCATCTAGGAAGCACGACTGGACATTGTTATCAGTGACTAGCAACTCCCTTCCCCCTCCCCACCCTTGGCACCTACTCTATTCTCTGCTTCTAAGAGTTTGACAGTTTAGATTCTGTTTATAAGTGGAATCACACAGTGTGTGCGCCTGGCTTGTTTCACGGAGCATAATGTCCTCAGGGTTCACCTGTCTTGTTCCATGGTGGGGTTCCTCCTGCTTCAGGGCTGAATAATATTCCATGGCTGAATAATCATACACGATGTTTTCTTGCTCCATTCACCTGTCAGTAGACATGCGGGTTCTTTCCAGGTCTTGGCTTTGTGAATAGTGCTCAAAGGAACATGAGGGGGGGAATTAAATCAACACTCATGAGGATGACCGTGCCACCTAATTATGGTCCAGTCAACCAAGCAATATACAAGGGTGGCCCCAGTGGCCCCAACACACAGCCTAGGTGTCCAGTGGACTACATCTGGGCGAGTGGAATCACCTTCTCCAATGGGCACATGGCAAGAGTCACGCAGCCTGGTGTTCTGTTTGAGTAGCCCAAATAAGCAAGGAGGGAGAGTAAGCAGATGAATTATTTTCTTGGCTACAGCTTTTTGAAACATAATTCCTATGCCATAAAATTAATTTGTAAGTGTATGGTTCAGTGGTTTTTAGTAGATGCAAAGAGTTGTGCAATCATCACCATCACTGACAGTAGAGCAGTCTCATCACCCCAACAAGAGATCCGTATCATTTTCCTACCTCTCCACAGTCCCCCACTCCTCCCAGTCATTTCCTGTCTCTGTAGAACCGGCACTTCCAGACACACAGACACAAGGAACTATACAATATGTGGCCTTTCGCGAATGGTCTTTGACTTAAAGTTCCCCAGGGTCGCTTATGTGGCAGCACGTGTTAGCTCTTCCAGTCTGAATAACACCCCATTGTGTGGGTATTTGTTTATGCATTTGTTTAGCCATTGCTTCTGATGGACATTTTTTTTTAAAAATTTATTTATTCATACAGAACTGGGGTACAGGCCAGAGATGCAGAGGGTGAGAGGATTCACCAGAGACAGAGAGGGGAGCAGAACAGGCAGATCGATGAAGTACACTGCTGAGGGGAGCAGCAGGCGGGCCAGGAGAGGTCTGCCGCACCATGTGGTCACCTCCGGGGCAGGCGGGAATCGAACTCATGTGGAAGAGGCTTAAGCTTCTTTGTGCTGTGCTTTAACCCGCTGCACCACCAGGGAGGGCCCTTGATGGACATTTTTTCCCCCTACATTGGGGTTGTTATGAATCATGCTGCTATGAGCGTTCACATACAAGTTTATTTATGCCTATATAACTGGGGTTCAGGCCAGAGGTGTGGGGGTGAGAGGATTCATCAGAGACAGGTGGGGAACAGAACAGGCAACTGATGAAGTCCACTGCTGAGGGGAGCAGTGGGGAGACAGGAGAGGTCTGCTGCGCCCTCCCTGGCTGGGGATCAAATGTAGGCTGCAGTGGCTGCAGATGGCTTTATGGTGTTGAGCTTTAACCCGCTGCGCCACCAGGGAGAGCCCTGGTCCTGGTTTTGTTTTGGTTTTTGATTTAGGACAACTTCATTTTCTTTCATACTGCCAACGTTTGGCCAGTGTTTGATTCTGCTTCCCGGGCGCAGTGCCGTAGCTGCCCACCAGCACAGCTCCCGTGATCCATCCCACAGGCCCTCTGCTCCTCCTGCCTCTGCCCTGGCCCTTCCCGCTCCCCCGCCCTTTGCCTGGGACCTGTGGTCAGCTTGCAAGTTTTGTCTTTTCTCTGATTCTTTGTTTGGTTTCTCTCAGAATACCACTGCATTCTGCATGTAAGTGAAATCATCTGGTATTTACTTTTTCCTTCTGACTGATTTTGCGTAGCTGCCCCTCCCAGCGCCATCCAAGTTGTTGGAAATGTCTTGAGTTTATCTTTTGTGTGTGTGTATATATATATATATATACCGCATCTTGTTCCATCCATCTGTTTTCGGGCGGGGAGGTTGTTTCTGTATCTTGGCTATTATGAATAGTGCTGCAATAAACATAGGCTTGTGGGTTCTTTCCAAGTGAGGGTTTTTGTCCTTTGGTAGATTCCTAGGAGTGGAAGAAGCAGATCATATGGCTGATTCATATTTCGTGTTTTGAGGAACTACCACACAGCTTCCCATGGTGGCTGGACCAGTTTACACTCCCATCAGCCAGCCAATTGCAGTCATGTACATGGAAAGAAAGGGAAAAACTAAGTTGTAGAGCAATTTAAAGAGTTCCAGAATATGATCCCCCAATATGTAAAACTACTGGAAAGGATGTTCATTAAAGTATTAACAGTGGTTACTTATTTCAGGAGTCCGCAAACTATGGTCTGTGGGTCACTTATTTTTGTTAGTGAAGTTTTATAGAAACACACTCATGGGCCCTCCCTGGTGGTACAGCGGGTTAAAGCATAACACTGTGAAACCATCCACAGCCACTGCAGCACAGGTTCGATCCCTGGCCAGGGAGGAGATCCGCACCGCACAGCAGACCTCTCCTGACCTGCCCACTGCTCCCCTCAGTAGTTTCAGTAAATCTGCCTGTTCTGCTCCCCACTCGGTCTCTAGTGAATCCTCTCACCACCCCTGCAACTCTGGCCTGCCTGTACCCCAGTTCTGTGTGCATAAATAAATAAACCTTTAAAAAAATAAGCACACTTATGCCCATTCGGTTATGTGTTATCCTGTATGTGCTTTCACAGAGGTGAATAGTTACAACAGCCATCACATGACTGACAAGGCAGAAAATATTTTCTGGTCCTTTGCAGAAATTTGCTGATGCCTCGTCTATGTGATGGAATTTGGGGCAATTTATTTTGTACTTCAACTTTTTAGATGTTTAGTGTTTTTATCCACTGAAACAACACTTGTTTCAATTTTTGTCTTGTTTGGTTTTTCCTAGATGAAAACGAACTGGCAGTATTAACTCAGGAAAATCAATTGTTTTATGGCAGCCTGGGAATCCTGCCGAGTCCTCTAATCAAAGTAGGTAAAAATCAAGGCAGGATTATTCCCATTCGGTAAGGAATAAATGGTATTGTTCCCAAACTTCCAACCTTCTTTCTGAAGGCCAGAAATAACTCTAGTTCTCAAAGTAGTAGTAACATTTTAATAGTAATAAGTTAACATTACCTTAAAGTTAAATTAGTAATGTAAATGTAATATTTAGTAATGTTAACAGTAGTCATAATTTTAACATTTATTGAAGTCACAACAGCAACTAAAACCTAGCACATAGAATCTGCAAGTGTTAATTTAAGTGCCATCTATCTGTTACTTTACGGGAACCCCCCCCCCACCGTCATCGGAGAACCCTTGTTGTCCACATTTGACAGATGAAAAAACGAACGCGCAGGGTGGTCAGGTCACCTGCCCAAGGTTCCAGAGGTCGGAAACAGGGATGATCTCGCATCATGGTGCACATTGCGCGTACACTGACATACCTCATTCTATTTCGTTCTTACAACAACCCATGAAGGAGATAATGTTGTCTGCCTCCCGGAAGTGGGGAAACTGAAGCCCACGTCTCTCTCTTTCCAGCGGCCCCTGGCTCATTAGCCACTGGGCCAGAGACGCCCACCGGTGTGCTGACTGCTTCTCTGTGTGTGTGACCCCGAGCTCTGCAGCACCTCGCTGGTGACAGAGGCTGGCAACAGAGCGGGCACCACCCTGGGTGCGGGCGCAGGCACGGAGCTCTCTCTGTGAAACCTTAACTCTGACTTTCCTCTGACAAGTGTGTTTTCAGAGCGCCATAGCTTTTGTTTAACTCTCCGAAAAGATCCATGAGTTGTGAATAAGTAAGGAATTCTTCCCTCTCTGATGAGGGGAAATTACTGGGCTTCCAGCACTAATTTAATGACCATGGACTGACAGAGCCTGAAAAGTAGGTGTCTCAATCAGTGCACTTGTGACTTTGACTTGTGGGGCGGAAGTGTCTAACTTCTTTAAATCTGAATCATAAAATACATTTTAAATCTTAAGCAAAGAATCAGGATAATCTGATCACATCAATTGTTTTTCTCTTAGTTTTCAGACCAAAACATCTGGAATCAAGAGTCCACTCTGATGTTCACTGACGTGGGGAAGCTGGAAATACTGACCCCAATTTCTGATCAGCTGTTTGCAATGTTTGATTTCCAGAAGTGCCCCATGAACATTCAGGGGATTCTCATGAGCCCCCAACTCAGAAATGAAGTTTGTGATGTACGTGCTGATGATTATTTAAATCAATGTTCTAGTCACTCTTCTGTAAAAAGACAAGTTCCAATAACCCAGAGTTCAGCACCTGCTGCCACCCTATATGGGCTGCCAGAAAAAGTATCAGCTACGCAGTGATAGCTGAATTTCAGCTAGATTAACTCCAACAACCAGCCTCCAGAGGTCCGAAAGGTTGCCACCCTCATCTTGAACCACTTCATGTCCCTTATTTCAAAAAGAAGCCTTTACTTTTATTACACACTTTTTGGAGTGAGGAAATCAACCAAGCCTCAAACTGGTCCAAAAGTGACTAAAGTAAGAAGCAGTTAGCAGATCTACTTTCCTTTTCAAGTAGTCTAGGCCAGTGAAATGTTATGGCCCCTAGTGATTTATTTCTAAGCGCCTCCGGAGAGGAGATTCAATTGCAGTCGAGATATCCACCAAGCTGTGGGAATGCGCCTTAACCTGGCTAAGCAGAATGATTAAAGGGGGTGGGGAGAGGGAATGAACGAAATGCGAAAATGTATGTGCATCGATTTGGACACATTATTCTGCAAGTGATAGAAAATGCAAATCCGATGGACTTAAGTCAGAAAAGCAACTGTTACTCACCGAGGCAAGAGCCCAAAGGGAGACTTCAGATGAGACTTGCTCGTAACCCCCCACGCCAGCCTTCCTCTGCACCGGTGGGTGCCTCGCTTCATCCGGAAGCTCCGTCTAGCTGCCTCTGGGAAGCTCCTGGCTCTCACACTGTGGTGGCCAGAGGACAGCCAGTGCTAGAACTGGCACCGGCACACGGCGCCAGGGGCCACGGAACGGGTCTCTTGCCACAGATTCGCAGAAGTCGGGGGGGGGGGGGAAATCCCGTCAGTCTCAGCCCATCTCATTGGCTCAGAGAGCGTGACACGCACACGCCAGCTCAGTCACGTGGCGGGGACGAGCCAATCAGCGCTCGCCCGTGGACAGCAGGTGGGGCTAATCCCTCCTGCGCACTGTCCGAGGGTCATGCAAAGTGGTGATTGCCCAAGGAGCCGGCTCACTTTGCAAGGGCCCTAGCTTCGGATGGAGATAGGGCACTCTCTTTTCTAGGTGCCTCCAGAATCCCTCTTCCCTAGCTCTTGGCAACCACAATGGCATTTCTTTAAAACTAACTTTTTCAATTTTGTCAAGATATAATTGACACGTTACATTGTAGTACCCTCAGGTGTAAGGCATAACGTATTTGATATATGAATATATGGCAAAATGATGATACTCCAGTAAGCTTAACTAATATCCATCACCACGCAGTCGGCCGGGGTGGTCCCAGGCAGGGCGGAGGCACTGCCCTTCCCACGTGGGGACAGGGGTGGATTTTACTCACTGCATTCTCTTTGCTTTTCTACCTAGATAGAACTTCTGCAAGGAGAATTCGAAAATAAAATGTTCACCATTGACATGAACAGCAAGTTGGAACTGACGGCCCTCATGATACCCCGGCCGGGCAAATCCCCCGCCCCTCTGGTAAAGGCTTCTCCTTACCTGTTCACCAAGGCGTCCCGCCCGCCACTCCCACTTCTGGGAACCCCCGGCTTCCTGGGGAGGCTGTGATGGTCCGGAGAGGGCTCCCTGGCGCTTACGGCAAGGGAGGAACCTGAGAAACAGTGGGTGTTCCTGGGCCTGAAGCCCCAGGCTCGGCCTGGACCCTCAGGTGCAAGTAATAAGGTGAAACTGGCCCAGAGATTAGTGTAAGAATGGGGGGGGGCACATCCAATCCCCCAACACAGCCCGGCTCCAGCTGGGTGGGGTCTCCCCTCCAGGCTGCCCCCGCAGGGTGGGCCCCAGGAACAAACAGGTCTGGGCTTGCGTCTGCGGTGCCAGATTCAGCAGCCACCCGCGAGGCTGAGGCACATAGGAGCACTTCTGGCCGCCGCACTTGCAGACCACCCTCAGCTCTAGTCTGCAGGCGCACTGAGGCTGGCTGGCACACAGTGACACCCTGCCCACCCCACCCCAGGCAGTGGTGAGCAACCCCCACTCCCTGGGGCTGGACAGCCTCATCTACGAGGATGGCTACACCTACGACGGGAACACCAAGTACAGACTGGTAGGTGGAGGCCCTGCGCCAGGCCCAGCTCAGCGTCAGAGGGCCAGGGGCCGTGGCCTCACCGTGGCCTCTGTCCTGGCCTTCGGCCTCCTTCCCTTCCTTGTGCCATCTGCACCGGGCGTAGGAGCCCTTGCCCTGCCCACCCCAAGCGGCTGCAGCCACACAAGTGACATCGCCAAGGTGTCCCACAGGAGAGGCGTGGGCGACGTGAGCGGGGACCCCGCCAGCCCGGGGAGGGCTCGAGCCTGGGTTTGTTGGGTAAACTGACGCATGGGACGGAGGCAAAGCAGGTGAGAGCAGGGGAGGGGCGTGACCGAACGTGGGTCTGAGGGCTCCACGGGGTGAACAACCCAGACACAAGGGGGCCGCTCACGGCCCTGAGTCCGGACTTGCCCCAGGCCCGAGGCCCCTGGCAACGCACTCTTTGGCCCGTCCTCGTCACATCACAGCTAAGTGAGGGGAACAAAGTCACCTCAGTGGGGCTCCCCAAGACAGACCGAGAGAGGAGATGGGGCTCAGGGTGACCATCTCCTTGAGCTTCCAGAATCCTGTGATGGACAGGGGGACTAGAACTAAGGAGGCCAGTTTGGGGGCCACTTCTTCCAACCACCTGAGCCTACCCCCGCCAGCTCTCCCCGAAGCCCGACCTGGGGACCGCCCCAGACTGTCCCCAGTCAGAGCAGATGTTTTCAACTCCACAGAATATTTCTCTGCGGCAGCAGCACCATTGGGGCAGGACTGACCCCAACTTCACCTCCAGGTACGGTGTCACCTGGGAGGTGGCAGGTGGCCCCAGGATGTTTGTGGGGTCTGTGTGCCTTTCACAGCAGTGTCATTACGTGGCACATGCCTGCAGCCCTTCCCAGGGACTGGGGCAGGCGTTGGATGATAAAAGTCAGCACAGAATGGCCAACACCGGTCCACAGGCCGGGGAAAGTTCCAGGGCCTTTGAGAGTCCATTGGGGCTGGGGGGCATCCGGACGGTACAGGGAGTCTGCTCAGGAGGTCAGTGCCACATGACCTGAGCGGCATTAACAAGGAGGGGCCTCCCTGGTGGCACAGAAGTTTGCAGCACAGACTGTGAAGCCGGCCGCAGCCACTGCAGCTCCAGTTTGATCCCCGGCCAGGGAGGGACCCACAGGGCGCAGCAGACCTCTCCTGTCTCCCCGCTGCTCCCCTCAGCCACCTGTTCTGCTCCCCACTCTGTCTCTGGTGAATCCTTTCACTGTCCCTGCACCTCTGGCCTGTACCCCAGTTCAGAATGCATGAATAAATAAAAATCTTTTAAAAAAAAAAAAAAGGAAAAGAAAAACAAGCTGGAAGGAAAGGTGTCCAGGAAGGAAGGGGAGGCGGGGCAGAGACCCTGCGGCAGGAGGGGATGCAAACCAGGCACTTGTGTCAATAAAAGTAGAACTCAACAACCAAAGGAGACCAGAAACCACACCAATACGAAATTCCCCTTCACCTGGAAATGTAAAAACCCATGTAGGAAAGACTTTGTGAAATACAATTAAAATAAACTAAGAAAATTTGCATCCCAAGCACTTTAATTATTGGGGGCGGGGGGGGGGGGCCGAAGGTGAGGAATGGACTGAAGACAAATGAAGTAAAAACGGAGACACAGCGGGAAGAGCAAAAGGGAAGGGAGCAGAGGGGGTCATGAGGACACAGCCTGAAGCCACTAGGGAACAAAAGGCACTTTGAAATGTCAAAAGGAAAAGTAAGGCTGATTCCAGCCCGTGTAAGATAAAACCCTATAATCCTGACGAGGATCAAAAGATAATTAAGCAAAAGGAAAAGGAAGGTAAAGATTAGGCTACAGAAGCTATTGAAAATGAGAAAACATGCAGATAGGTGACGATAAAATTGAGCATGGAGGGAGGGGGCATTTTTTATTTTATCTTATTGTTTTTTAGAGATTTATTTATTTATGCACACAAGAACCGGGGTACAGGCCAGGGGTACGGAGGTGAGAGGACTCACCAGACACAGAGTGGGGAGCAGAACAGGCAGATGGACTGAAACACACTGCTGAGGGGAGCAGCGGGGAGACAGGAGAAGTCTGCTGGGCCCTGTGGGTCCCTCCCTGGCCGGGGATTGAACTGGTGCTGCGGTGGCTGCCACAGCTTCATAGTGCTGCGCTGTAACCTGTTACACCACTTGTGAGGGCCCTGGAGGGGGAAATTTATAGATATATATATATAGTATATATATAATACTTTATTTTCCCATCATCTTGTGCATTTTTCCATCTCAGTTGCAATCCCCTTGGGCTTCCCATCACCAAATCACCCATGTGCCATCACCATAACCCAGTGCATTTCCCTCCCCTGGAGGGGGAAATTTAAAAAAATTGAGTACCAGACATTCTTCTCAATATATCAGATGTAAATTAACAAAGCTGGTAGAAGAGACAGAAACTCGAGGGGAGGCAGGACCAGCACGTGGGAGCAGAGGCTTTACGTTAATGTTCTGGGAGTGGGCGGACGGATGGGTGGATGAGTTCACTTTTTACTGGGCACCGGTAGCGGTAACACTCACCTCCGTTGCCTTGCAGCATAAGGAGACCCACAATGTCCACCATAACTGTGGACATAGCCAACAAGGACATTACATGTGTGGACCTCAAGCCTCTGGTACGTCCCAGACTTCTGGTGTCCCGTGTTCTTTGTCACTGTGCTGAGACGAGCGCAGATCTCAGTTGGCCTTTCCCTGAGTTCAGAATCTGGAAATGCGATTGATCCTGTCCCAGTTGCCGAGGCCCCTGGCTCCCCTCGTCACTATCCCCCAGGGCTGCCCTGATGCCCCAGCATCTGGGGGTCCCAGTCCCACTCCTTACTGGGCATCTACAGACCAGCTTCTGCTCCACTCAGATAACAGCACCCCTTGATGTCCGCAAAAGATAACCCGCCCCCACCCACACACACACGAACTCCGACATACAGTGTTCAGAATGGTGTCATTCACGATGGCCAAAAAAAGCGGAAGGAGGCTACATGTCCATCGACAGCTAAACAGATAAACAAACTGTGGGTCATCCCCACACGGAACAGCATTCGGGCTGGAAGAGGAAGGAAATCCTGGCGCAGGCTACAGCGGGGGTGAGACCCGAGGCCACTCTACTCAGGAAATGTGCCAGACGCGAGACACAGGCTGTGAGCTCCCCTCGGGGATCAGCCAGAGAGGTGGACCTAGCGGGAGGAGCCGGCTGAGGGTGTGGAGTGGGAACAGGATTCCAGTCTGGGAAGATGAGGAAGTTCTGGGGAGGGCGGGTGCGGCTGGCCACAAGAGCCGTTGTGCTGAGGCCACTGAGTGTGCGCTCACGTGGCTGAGCACGCCCATGTGTTGTGGATTTTACTCCAGTTTTAAAAACCGATAGAAACCTTGTGTATTTGTCCTACTACAAAGCTGTTTCCAACACCAAGTCTCTGTCCTATGGTTTCTGAGCGAAAACAGCTGTTCTCAGTTCACTGACACATTTCGTGGCCTGAAGCCAGCTCACCTGTGGAAGGGGTTTAGGCTCCTTCCGTTCCGTGGGCATCACGGATGGCGCCGCCGCTGTGGCGGCGCGTGGCCGGTGCGTGGACGCGTGTGGTGTCTGTCGGCTGCTGCCGAGGGAACATCGCACCGCCTGAGGAACGTGTGCCTCAGGCCCCAGGCGCCCGGTCCTCGTCCCCTCTCCTCTTCGCTCCCTCTTCGTGGCACTCATTCATCCAGCCCTTCCACCCCTCGCCCCTCGTGCCCAGCACCGTGCTGAGTTGCGGTCCCTTTGCAGCACTAAGAGGCGGGCTGGTGATGGGGTGACCTAGCAGCACCCCACAGCCCCTCAGGCTCTCGGGGCACAGGCCCGATGGCACCAGCCATGCTGACCTTGCGCCCCAGGCTCCTGGCAGCCGTGTGGGCAGCCAGGGCGGAGTGTGCCCCTGCGGGTTTTCAGCACACTGGGCCACGGTCGCCTTGCCTGGCCCGACTGGCTCCCCTGTGTCTCTCCTCTGCAGTCGGCCATCATCTCAGTCGGGTGTGACTTGGAGAAAAAGATCATCGTGCAGAAGTAAGCATGTTGCCTTTGGGGTGGAGGGGGGCGGCGGATGGCTTGGTCGCAGGTGGGCACAGCTGAGGGTGGGCATCGCCCCCTGGCCGCGCGTCGCTGTACGTCTGGTTCCTGCGTCACTGACAGTTCAGTCATCCTACTAGCAGGCTGTTTGGAGCTTCTGGCAGACGGCCTCCCTCCCTCCACCTATCTGGTGATGCCTCCTTCCCGCCCTCCTCCCTCATCATTTGCCTCTTGGATCTCTTCCTTTCCATCCCCTAATTGCTCATTTTAATTAAAATCATGCAGGGGGTTTAAATCCTGGTTTAAATTCTGGCAGAAAATTCTGGGGAATTTTGCCTTTCAGTACCCATAGTTATCCCAGGCAGCTGCAGCCAGGAGACTCCAAAAAAAGAAAAGGAATTGCCCCCATCAGGCAGCCACACGTGCTAAGTTATGGTACCCACCAGCGGCAGGGCGCCCTGTGGACGAGGCCTTGTGACGGCCCGGGGGCTCTGGTACACTGAGGAGCTGAGGAAGCCTGTCCTGCTGGCCTGGCACGAACACAACGTGGCCAGTCGCCTAGCCACAGGGGCAGCAGATGCGTGGCCAGCTCCTGCCCTACATAGCCCCTACTGTGCCCCTGCCTGGGTAAGGCTGGGCCTGCCCCGAGAGCCCCACAGTCACCTGAGGGGAAGGCCAAGGTCTTCTCATGCTCCCACCTGGAGCTGGTGATGGCGACCCCTTCTCTGGCGCCACCTTGCAGAGCAGAGGCCTAAGAATAAAGCACTGGGTGGGGAAACGGAGCATGGTGTTTGACACAGCCGTGACAGTGAAGACGGCCGAGGCCGTGAACGGACAATATGAGTGTGACGTGACGGGACAGATGCCCAAGAACACAGACGCCATGAGCCAGTTGGCAAAAGGAGCCTCATTGCCCAGGGAGGCAGGGGGCACGGTCTGACGGAAACGGAGGAGTCACCTCCAAGTCGACACCCCACCCAGATTTAGCCTCCAAAACCACTTTCCAGGACAAGGAATCGGGGCTCTTTGGGGAAGCGGCTGATTTTAGGTGTGACAGGAAGATATAGGATGAGCTAGGAGCTTCTTGGGAAATCAGTGAATAAAAAAGAAATGGCTCAGAAAACCAAACTCATAGGGGTATAGAAGGTCAAAGGAAAAAACTGAGTTCGGGGCCCTCCCTGGTGGCGCAGCTGGTTGAAGCACAGCACTGAGAAGCTAAAGCCACTGCAGCATGAGTTCGATCCCCGCCTGCCCCGGAGGTGACCACATGGCGTGGCAGACCTCTGCTGACCCGCCCGCTGCTCCCCTCATCAATCTGCCTGTCCTGCTCCCCACTCTGTCTCCAGTGAATCATCTCACTGTACCTGCACCTCTGGCCTGTACCCCAGTTCTGTGTGCATAAATAAATAAATCTTAAAAAAAAAAAACACTGAGCTCAGTGTGCCGTCAGGAGAGGTTCTCACCATCCTCTGTTGTTTGCAGCAAAGTCTCGGCCTGCTACAAAGGCATCCTCGATCCTGTGGCCCTTCAGGACAATTACTCCTACGTCATCGAGAAGTGAGCCCGGGATGGCCTTGCTCTCCCCCTCGCCACCATTTGGCGCCGTGTGCCAAAGGCGCATAAGAATGGTTTTCTAGTTGCATCTGGTCAGTGGGGACTGGAGCGGGTAGGGGACTGCTGACCTTCGGATAGTCAGTGATTTCGCAGAGGGCCAGCCCCACCCCCAGCACACCCCCACCCCTGGGAAGGTCACATCTGGCTGGTGGACTTAGCGGGGTGCATCACTGAGGTGGGAGGGCAGGCAGAGGAAGCAGCTTTAGGCAGCGTGGCAGTCCTAGGTGCCACTCCCAGGCAGGCAATGGGGCTCGGCCCTTCTGGGCACCGGCCACGAGAGCCCCTCCTGGGGCAAGTTCACAGCAGCAGGCTGCAGCCCCAGGAACATTCCCAGCAGACTCCCTGCTTGCTCTGGGGGGCAGGCGCTGGTCAGTCTTTTTCTCTATTGAGACCTTCAACTTCACCCACATTTGGAAGGGTAATTTGCTTACTCCAGAGTCCACCAATGCCAATGGTAATCTCAACCACCAAAAACACCCTCACAGAAAGTTCCAGAATAAGGTTTGGCAATGCACGTGGGCAGCAAGGTCCCCCCAAGTGGACCCCCAACGTTAACGACCATGGAGGGGAGATCCCAGTTTCGTTCTGAGCGTCCCCAGATGCCGCTCCTCTGTAGAGACCCAGGCCAGGGACATCTGGGGTACCTGAAGGCAGCTCACCCCACCCTGCTCCCTGCTCCTCCACAGGGAAGCCTATGACCCCGACTTTAAAGGACAGAAGGCCTCCCAGGACTTGGTGGTGACTTACCGCTACGAGAAGCTGGGGTGCCCTCTCCTGGTCTACTACGACTCTCTGTGGAAGCCCGTGGTGGAGCTGTAAGTCCCGGGGGGTCCCGGGGGTGGCGGCCTGGCCCCCCCTTATCTGCAGACCTCTCCACATGCAAAGGCTCTGCCCCAGGTGTCTCCTCCGCGAGAACACCAGGCCGGCCTCCTCCCTCTCTAGCTCTCAGCCCCCACAGCCCTCCCTTCCCCTCCCCCATGCAGGCTGTGGGGCCTGGGGGGACCCACACTTAAAGGTAGACTGTCCCCCAGTCCTAGAGGCCAGGGTCCACGGTCAAGGTGTGGAGTTGGTTGCCCTGGGAGTTCCCTCTCCAGCTAGCCGGTGTCGTCTTGCCTCTCTTGGGTTCGGACACCCAAAGACCTCTGCCATCTCCCTACGGCCGGGACCTCACCCACGCGCCCTCGCCTAACCCTCCCTCCTTAAAGATGCCGTCTCCAAATAGAGGGTTAGGGCTCCGGCTCAGAAATCTGGGGAGACGCAGTCTGGCCCCTTCTGGCGGATTCTGCCGGCTGCTTTCACTGTGTCCGCAGCCACGGCCACATGTCAGGTCTGCAGCTATGTGGCAAGTGCCACTGCCCCGGGCCCCTCGGGGCCAGAGTCCCGACCCCACAAGAGCCCCAGGCCAGCTCTGCCCAGAGTTCTGTCTGTGGTGAGGGAAATGTCCCTCAAATCCGCGTGGTCCAATCCGGCGACCACAAGTACGTGCGTCACAGAGCGCTTGAAACGTGGCCAGTGCACCCGAAAAGCTGGCTTTTCGATTTTGTTTAATTAGAATTAATCTATATAAGCAGAATTAGGCCAGAGGCTCAGTTCTGTGCCTGCCACATTCTCAAACTAGATAGGTGTTGACTGATGGTGGGAATCGGCTTATACGTGAATAACTTTTTTAAAGATGTATTTATTTATGCACACAGAACTGGGGTACAGGCCAGAGGTGCAGGGGTAAGAGGCTTCACCAGAGACAGAGCCGGCAGAAGGCAGCTGTACTAACATACTAACATACATGCTGAGGGGAGCAGAGGGGAGACAGGAGAGGTCTGCTGCGGCCTGTGGGTCCCCCCCCCCCCCCCCCCCGGCCGGGGATCGAACTTGCACTGCAGTGGCTGGTGATAGCGTCACAGTGCTGCGCTTTAACATTCTGTGCCACCAGGGAGGGCCCGAGGTGACTTTATTTCTGCCCCTCAATCCCCTCCTCTCTCCACCACAGCGTCACCCACTCACAGGCTATGGTGAGCACAGAATGAGCATAAAGGACTTGAGCTTTCTGACTTCGCACATGGCTGTGGCCACATAAAGCCATCTGGGGGTGCCAGGGGAAGGGTAGGCAGGGCGCACTGTGCTGTTCGCAGCATCTTGTAATCAAAACTGTGTCAAAACAGAAAGACAGTCAAACCAAAATCTCAGCACAGGGTAAAGGTCTGACCGGGCAGCTGACCTCAGGACACAGTCCTGCAGGCCACGGGCCAGCCGGGGTGTGGTGCCGAGGAAGGAAGTTGGTGCGAAGGGTAAGACGGGTTTCGGAGCTGGCCCAGTGCCGGGCGGCCGTCAGTGCGGCGGCTGAGGGAGAGGCTTCTGGAAGCGAGGCCCGAGCCGCCCTTCCGCCGGGCTTCATGAACACGCCAGGCGTCTGCGCTCGCTGCTGTCAGTGTGAACCAGATTCCGTTTCTCTGGGAGCAGCTGTTCTCCACCTTGGCACGTTCACACCTGTGCATATGCACACACCCTCACGCAGACACACAGGCCCGCGCACATACCCACCCACCTGCCTGCCGTGCGCGCCCCCACGAACGCACGTCCCCACCCACCTGCCTGCCGTGCGCGCCCCCAAGAACGCACGTCCCCACCCACCTGCCTGCCGTGCGCGCCCCCAAGAACGCACG